TTCCTTCCTGACTGGCTAGTTCTCTGTTTGCAAGGAAAACTAATTGCCTGTTTATAAAAACTGTGCATAATATGGAGATAGCTATACGAAAAGGAAGAACTCTGTCCCCTAGCTTGGTAGTTTCCTCCCTAGAGGGTTTGTAGAAAATTTCATTTTAGGATTTATTATCTTTGAATGGAGAAACATTCAGCTAGAGAGCGTCTCCACCGGCAGTCTGGAGATAGCCCAGAGACAGGTGTGCCACCTTACTGAGATCTGGGACTGTGAATTGCCGTTGTCTTCCTCTTCCTCTCTCCTCTCTGTCTGTCTCCTTTCAGTGTATCCTTCCTCCTCTTATTCTCTCCTTGCTCCTTCCTCCTTTCCTTCCTCCTTTCCCGGCCCTTCCTCCGGCTGTCGTTTGATCCTAATGCAATGTGGCCTCCCCATCTTGCCTACTACCTCAGGCCTGCCTTTCAGCTTCTCTTATTTTGGGGGCCTGGAAACGCATCGCTCGCTCTCCTTGCTTGTGGAAGAAGAGCCTCCGCCTAGCCCTGACTTTAATCGTCTTGCCTCCAGTTGCATGAAGATCACAGATTCAGATTTTTTTTTTTTTAAAAAAACCTCTTTAAGCAAGAGAGAGCGGCTTTGAAAAATGCCTTTTTTCTTCCCCTGGCCTTAGGGTAACCTAGAGGTTCGATAGGCAAGGTGTTTCTAGTTCAAAAAGTGCTGAAGGGAGAGTCCAGTATCTCCTGCACTTATTTTCAGTTGTGGGTGGAACCCCTCCTACTCCTCATTCTTTGCAAACTAATCTATCAGCCTCGTCCTGAAAATCAAAGTTTGCTTTGATGGTGACTTAACAAATCAGGTTTCTCGCCATCTTGGAATGTGTGGGCATGGCTAGATTAAGGCAAAGAAGGCAGGGATGTGGCTGAATAGGATTTATGAGGAGAGTGGGGTGCAAATCTCCCTCAACCCCAAAATATTGACATTCAGCATATAGCCTGGAACCAATTTTACGCTCAGCTTAACCTCTTTTTTTTTAACAGGGTTCAGGTTACCAAGGGTCATGTCAACCTTTGCCAGTCCAGGGTCTAAATTTAAAATGACAGGGAGGAACCAAAAGCACCACAAAAGTGGGAGAAATTGCTTTTGGGGACTGAGATGTCCAGAATAGCCTGGCCAGTTTAGCAAGGCCGGCCGCCATGTGTAGGGATTTATAATCTTAAAAAGTTACTTTCCCCATCTCTGACCTGAGCGCCTGACCTTATGGCAGGATGTAACCATGATTTTTGTCATTCTTTCATTAGTGGTTGTAGCAGCAGCACCAACAAAGAGTTTCCACTGTTTTGTTCGTGATAACCCATTATTAAAGTAATCTATCAGTGACCGTGGCAGCTTGTGGCCTGAGATGGCAGGGTGGTGGGGGTAGTGGAAGCCACACCCTGGTGTTTCAGGGTGTATACCACCCCCTGCCACTCCAGTCACGAGCTTCCTGTGCTTCTTTGTCTCCCCTAAGCATTTTTATACCCTCTTAAGGAAGTGTATAATAATCTGACAGCAGAGCTAGCATTTGATGCACCTGCTAAAGGAGACATGAAGCTGATGCCATAATTTTTGCTGCTGCTTCACTGGGAAATTAAAAAAAAACCAAATTGCCACTGGTGGGGAAATTATGGCGCTGTTGCGCTACTGCTCCTTGAGGCACTGTGCACCTAGCAAAAGCAGATTAGAACTGCTGGATAGCTCGTGGTTGAGGTCTGTGGCTGTGGAGCCAGCCGTTGGGAGTTCCAGTTCCTCACTGGGCCTGTTTAACAGGGGCTGGACTCGATGATCTGGAGAAGTCATCATCATCTGCAGTTTGATGATGATGACTTCATCAACAGGGACTAGATCCTTTGTCAGAAACAGGCAGCTACTATAATTGTCTCAATTTTCTGTGAAGAGGAAAAAAAATAACCAGTGGCCATTTTCATGTCAGTTTCAGGTCCTGGGGAAACATCCGTTTCCACCCTTGAGATTATCAAGCTGGTTTAGCGGAGGATAAGGATATGGCTTTATGATACGCACAGTTTTGTTCTCCAACAGCACAGAATGGCTAAGGAGCTTGCCAATGCCCCCAGCAGCTACCCTTTGAGGTGCTTGCCCCACGTTCCCTAATAGTAGAGCCTGCACCCCTGGTGGTAACAGACTCAGATCAGTCTCCTTTAGCCGTGGAGAGAAGGAGCTGAATGAGAGAATTGTGCTGACGGAGGCGTTCGGAAGAACTCAGTAGTCTAGTTGCTGAATCCTGCAGGGGCCGGAGGCACGGGACGCACCTTGCGTGGGTTGCGCAGAAGAATCAGACCTGTGCTTTCTCTTTCCACTCCCCCCACTCTTCCCCTTCAGATCTCGGCACGCCGAGCCCATGCCTGAGTGTTGAGTGCACTTTTGGGTCGACCTGCGTGGTGAAGAACCAGGAGGCGGTCTGCGAGTGCCAGCAGGTGTGCCAGAGTGTTTACGACCCAGTCTGCGGCAGCGACCACCTCACCTACGGCAACCCGTGCGAGTTGGAAGCCATGGCTTGTGCCCTGCGGAAAGAAATTAGGGTGAAGCACAAGGGCCCGTGCGGTGAGTGTGTACCTCTTTCTGTGCATGGGTGCCTCTTTCGCAGGTGTGGGCAGAAGCAAGGAGGAGATTTCTGATGGTTCCTCTGGTCGGGATCTAGTAGTTTGTGGGCAGGAAGCTGGAGAGATAAAACTAAGCAACCTGGTCTGATCCAAAATGGCATGGGTTGTATAATAGGTACCATGCTGGTTTAGGTTTCTGGGTTCGGAGCCAGAGTTTGGGGGTTCGATTCCCCTACTGGGCCTCCAGGGAGTGGAGCCAGCCTGGGTGGCCTTAGGCAAGCTGCACCATCCTAGGGCTCCCCCCCCCGCTCCAGAAGAAGGGAAGGGGAGACCATTTCTGAGGATTCTCTACCCAGAAAACCCTGAAAAAGGGTGTCATCCGTCAGAATTGACTTTATGGCACAGGATGATGATCTTTTTATTTCATTTTCTGAACTGCTTGCCAAACGAATGGAAATGGCTGTTTCATTTGCCAGTGGAAAACCAGTGGGCGCGTCAGTGTTGTTGCTGAGAGATCTGTAACATAATTCCCAAATCAAATGATCCCTTCCTAGGGTAGATTCCTCCCGACACAGGAAAGTGTGGGGACTTTGGTGCTGTGCCAGAGGTTTAACAGGAGGGTGTTGGTTTTGTTTGTGCATCACTTCTCCCGCAATTCACACAAAGGCCTGACCCGTCTTGTGGTCTCTTGTATCTGTCCCACCCCATGAAGAGGTGCCCTCCGCAGGGAAGCCCACCCAGTGGTATATCTTCCCATCTTTCAGAGATGGGTGAAAAGTATGTCTCATCCAGAAGTGGATTTAGGAGTCTCTGGCTTATCAGGTTGCTGGAGTATTTTAGAGATGCCGCCTGATGCTGCGCTGCTTTTAAATTGGCCAGATTTTATCGAACAGCTTTTCCTGTGTTAATTTTATTGCATTTTATAGAGCTTTGTTTGGTGATTGTTGTTGAAAACAGTCTGAATTGATTGATTTAGCAAGATAACATTTTCCCCTCTTTGTATGCAGCCTGTTCAGTTTCTAAGCCTGCATTGGGTTTTTTTTACTCTTAGCTGAGTTTTTTTCTCCCTAAAAAGCTGCCACAGGGGTTGGTTCCTTTCTTTGCCTAGCTATCTACATCTGGTGATATCACTTGGAACTTAGAAAAGTTACTTTTGGGGGCTGTAATTCCCAGAAATTCCCCAAGCAGAATGGCTGCAAGCTCAGAAGTAGTGGGGGTGGTCCAAAAAGCAGCTTAAAACGGGGTGGTCTCCTGTTTTAAGTCTGGCACAAGAAAAGAATCACTGGCAATGAGAATGGACCACACTCAGCTACATGGACAGATAGTATAAAGCAGCTTTATAATCATTTTTCTTCTTCTATTTATCAGATATTACTTCTGGGAGGGGGGGAGAAACAACAACCCTGTAAGCATTTTACAGGTAAAATGTACAGCATTTAAAACAATTTTAAAAAGCAACATATAATACGAAACAACACCCCCCCTCCTCCTCATCAAAGCCCATGGTTGTAGAATAATCCATTTGGCCTCCAGCCAGTGTGTTTAAAACCCAGCAATCCCATCCCGTCAAAACTCATAATACGGTTACCCACTAAAAGCTATATGTTACCATGCATTCCAATAGTTTGGCTGTCGGGAGACGGGCGGGGTGGGGAGACGGTGGGCCTTACAAACTCAGTCTTGGCAGGCGCCTGTGTGTTCTCTCGGCTCGACTGTGTGCCTTTGCAGCCTCTTGCACCCAGTCAGCAAATTGCATTAAATCCTTGCGTAAGGAAGGCGGCGGAGAGAGAGAGAGGGAGAACAAAGCCCAGCTGCTGTGTGCTTGGGTGGCTGTGGAATGGCTTGCGGCTCCCTGGCTCTCGGTCAAAATGGCTACGGCCCCCCTTTGCAGCCAGGGATGGATTTCAGGTGGATTCCGATCTTTCTGCCATGTTGTGGTTTTTTCCCCCCTCCTTGATGTGCTCGCCAGGGCCTATGGCTGAACTCAAGTCTCGGTGGATTGTTTCGCCAGCGTGAAGTAGCTGTCAGGAGATCGGGCAGGGGGCGGGGAAGGTTGTCATGCCAGGGCCTGCGTTTCGTGCGACATCCCTGTGCAGCGGAACTCGGCAGCTGACTGCACAATCCCAATTTCAGGCTGTAATTAAATTGGCAAAGAAGATGGGGAGCGCAGGATAAGACACCATGCACCGTTTGCTGGCATGTATCTCCCGCGCCAGCCTCTGTGGGGGCATGTATAGAAGCTGCATGCAAGCACATCTGGCCTGATGTTTTCATCGGGATCGCTCTGGGAATACTGGATCGGACTCGATTTGAAGCTGCCTTGTTCCGCGCCAGGCTGTTGATCCATCTTGGATTATCGTTGTTGATGCCAGCTGGCAGCGCTCCCCTCAGGTTTCTAGCATGGGCTCACCTCGTCCTGTGGAAAAGAGGCACATATTTGACTTCTAAGGGGAAAGGCTTCCGTCACTTACTGAGAAAGCACTCTATACACAAGCTGCATGTCCTGGACCTCTCCAGGCTGCGCCATCAAGCCTGGACACCCGGAGGTTAAAAAGGCCCTTCTCTCTGTCCCCTCCAGAGCCTTCAGTGACAGGTTCTGAGACTTTCATCTCAAGTTCTTCTTCTCCATTAGCAGTCCCCCTCCGATCGCCTTTGAAGGCACTGCTAGCCCTCCTGCTTTGCAGTGTCAGGTGGCCCTGATGTCCTTCAAGGTTTGGTCCCTCCCTATGATCTTACCTTAAGAGGAGAAGGAGCCCAGGTGAGACAGAGTGGTTTTAAATGGGCGTGATACAGAAGGAGATGCTAGATGATGGGACCCACAGTGGATGTTTGTCTCCTGATGGGTAGGATGGGGCTCCCCAGGGGATGCTGCAGGACCACAGCTCCTCTGAGCCCCAGCCAGCCTAGCCAGAGTTGTGGTTGCAGTCCAGCAACATCTGGAGGGCCTCATGTTGGTCACCTCTACGCCATTGTGTGCATATCATATAAGAATGTCAAGTTGCCGTTCCAAGGGGGTGCGTTGCTGGAGGTGGGACACACGTGCCCTTTTGCAGAGGATTGGGTGAGGCGGATGTCTCCTCCTCCCCCAACGAAGCTACAAAACCGAACAGCACCGTAGCAAAGGATCGCGCAGCCGATCCATTCTGTCGCTTCTTTCCGCCTTCCTCTGGGGCGCTTGAAGAAGGAGACGGTTTGGGTGGGCGAGTGAATTATGAAGATGAACTCCTCTGCCTACCACTCCTCTTTCCCTTCCTCCCCCCTCCCCGTCCGCCCCATGCTGCGAACGCACATTCGCTGGAGGAGATGGGAAGAGAAGGACATGGCAGGAGCTGTGAATTATTGGCGTCATGTTGTAAATACATCCACTCCCAGGAAGGGAGAAGCTATTAAAATTGGAGAAAGACCTGCAGGGTTGGAGGGCCTGCTTGAGAAAGAGAGAGAGAAAGAGAGAGAGAGAGATGCAAAGTGTTCACCATCCCGCTAAGGATGCAATTCTGGAAGCAAGATTTCCAGGATTTTCCAGCAGAGAATCTTGAACGGTGGTCCTGGAGAGCCTCCCCATCTGGAGCAGTGGGATTGTAGTTCAAGCCAGGGGGGAAGCTTGGCGGGAGTGCGGGTGGGGACAGAGGCTCTTTCAAGACCCCTTCTGCGACCTGCATTTCCCAGCCATTAAGTTTTATGGATGCCTCTCCTCTTAACCCATGGGCCACACCTGGTTTTCCTGCCACCAATTATGGACTTGACTGTATCTTTTGTTATTTTGGCAGCGGGGGGGGGGAGTATCAAATGAGTTGGTCAGGATCGGGCAGCTCTCCCAGAGCTGCCAACTGAAAAAGAGCAGGAGAAACGACAGCTTGCAGATTCTCCACCTCTCTTCCACAGATCTGGAAATATCCCTCGAAACACTGATTTGTGGTAGGGCTTCCTTGCTGATACAAGCATATGGCTTATATTGCTTTATAATTGCGCCCAAGGCAGCAGCCTCATCTCTCCCTCTCCCATTTAGAGGCTTGCAACAGCGAGAAGCTTGGGTGATGTTTTGTTACTCTCCCTCTTGGCTCTGGCAGATTTAATGGTTTGTTGCCAGCCACCTCAGTGCCTCGGACATCTTCCCTTCCTCCAGGTCGGCCTCTCTCTGCACAAGCCGGGCTGAACAGCTTAGTGAGCGAGGCTGGGTGTTTATGTCTATGTGACATTGTAATGGAGTGGGGCAGGGAGAGAGAAGGTAAGAGGATTTTACGCTGTCCTGACACTCCATTAAGATGAAGAAGAGAGGCTCCCCCATTACCATATTCCACTCCCAGCCAAGACAAAACTCAGGGTCAACTGCAAGGCAGTGGTATTATTTCATTTCATTACATTTCTGTCCCTCCTTTCTCTCCAACCTGGGACTTGAGGCGGGTTGCAACAAGTTTTAAGGAAGCGTACAAATAACAGACGTAAATGGGTATAATATTAAAGCACATTGCAGAGACAAAGGATAGCATTGAAACATTCCAAAATGATTCAAAAGACACATTGCTAAAGAAAGACGTACAAACCAGCTGCAAAAGAATACAGCTAGGGAACTGGCGAGTGTGGTGTTGTGGACAGAGTGATGAGCTCAGCCTCTGAAGAGCAGGGTTCGAATCCTTATTCAGCCATAGAATCTAACTGAGGAACTGGTCAAACCACTCCTTAAATATGTATCCGTCAGAATGGGGAACGTACAAACCAGCTGCAAAAGAATACAGCTAGGGAACTGGTGAGTGTGTCCTAGAGGGCCAGGTCTGGCTAGGTGGCCTCTCTCCTGCCCTCATTATGGAGGGTGCAAGGGAGAGGACAACTTTAGACGTCTGAGGAAGAGGTCAGAAGATATGACTCTAAGTCAGTTCCAACTTGACGGCAGACAACTAACTAAGTGTCTAACCAAGGTAACTGGCAGACCATGTTGTCATGGGGAAGGGAGTGTGGCCATGTGGGGAAGCCCTGAAGGTCAGCTCAGGAGTCCTAGAGGGCCAGGTTTGGCTAGGTGGCCTCTCTCCCGCCCTCATTATGGAGGGTGCAAGGGAGAGGACAACTTTAGACGTCTGAGGAAGAGGTCAGAAGATATGGAGAGCGCTCTGATTCCTTCTGGGGAAAAGGGAGGGAATAATGCAGCCCATCAATCAATAACCGCCTTCACCCTTCTTTTCCTTTCAGACCGCTGTGGGAAGTGTCAGTTCGGCGCCATCTGTGAGGCAGAGACGGGGAGGTGCGTGTGCCCCACGGAATGCGTCCCCTCCTCTCAGCCCGTCTGTGGCACGGACGGAAACACCTACCGGAACGAGTGCGAACTCCATGTGCGGGCCTGCACCCAGCAGACCAGTATCACTGTAGCGGCTCAAGGCGATTGCAGTGAGTTCCTCCGGCCTTTTCCACAACATGGTTCTCTCTGGGATAATCATGTCGCCTTTAAGCTGTACCCTTTCCAAGCTGGAAGCAAGGCCTCATATAATGATGCTTTCCTCCTGGAGGAAAAAAAGAAGGAAGATCCCTGCATATAGGCTAACTAGCCTGTCAAGGAAAATGGTTCCCACCCTGGCAGGCTAGTTTTCTGCATGCAGGGAATTTTTAATCACTTTTTTTTACTATGATTTAGTATGGTTCCACTACATGAGCCCCAGAAAGCAGCCTGATGTAATATAGTCTGCTTGACCTACCTCTGTGGGGTAGGTGCTTTCCCTTTCTTTAACATCAGTTACTTGGTTTGCATAGCCTCTCGACCAGAGGAAGGCTCATTCTGGTTTCCCCTCCAGAAATGAGTAGCTAATGCAGAGTACTACCTGTTGATTTGAACACTTGTACCTGTGCCGTACTCGTGCTGGATAATGAGCAGATGGTTTTGTTTCTCCTTTCTAAGGGTTTATATCTTGGAGACCGAAAAACCCGAGACAGAGATTTTTTCCAGAGATGGTTAAGAGATTGAAAACCCAACCCCTGCATACTTATTTAGGGCCTCATGGGGACTTACCCCTGGGTAACATACATAAGATTGAATTTGTAGAGTGTATACCAGGGGTGGGCAGAGTCCGGTTGCCCGTGGGCCAGTTTACCACCCCCAGCACCCACAGAGGGCCTCACCAGTCCCCCAAAAGAAAATTGAAAACCGAAGTGTCTGGGCGCCCATTTCTCTTTCTGGAAAACCCTTTTCCTAAACTTTACAAAGTTACCAGGGCATTGGCAGGAGGGGGTGACTTTATCTTGTTTAAAAGGAGAAAAAAAATTGTCCTGGATTCTGGCTTTTCTCCATTTAATTAATTAATTAAATCAAATTCTTTCTTCCCCCCCCCCCTTTTGAAGTGAGAGGGTTCACCAGAGCGTGTGCTGTCACGTTGGCAGAGCTGGCTCATCTGTGCCACTTGGGCTACAAAAGGTTCACTAGCATGCGGGGGGGGGAGTGTCTGAGAGGCCAGAGAACCATGGTGGCTGGGGATGATGGAGAGTGTGGTCCATTAGCTCTGAAAGATGCGAGGTATGGGAATCCTGTGTTAGACAATGTTGGCCTTTTCCGTCTTGATTTGATGTTTTTCCCTCTTCCCCTCCCTTCCTCTTATCCTGTCTCTAGAAACCTGTGGGGACACCGTGTGCTCCTTTGGGGCCAAATGTGTGGGCGGGCAGTGCGTGTGCCCACGTTGCGAGAAGCAGCCCTTGGCCCAAGTGTGTGGGAGCGACGGGATCACCTATGACAATCCGTGCGAGCTGCAGGCGGCGGCCTGCCAACAGAAGGAGGAGATCGAGGTCTCTAAGAGGGGCCCCTGTGATGAAGGTGGGCCCCTTTCCCCCTTTTGATTCCCAAAGTCAGGGGTGTGGAGAGATTTCAAGAGGGATTTGGGTAAAATTAACAGCAAGAGAGCGGATTGGGTTGGAAAACACGGCAACGAGCCACCCTTGGTTAGAGTTTGTCGCATCAGAGTACAGAAGAGCCATGGAGGTTTTGTACTTCGGGTAGAAGAGGTGAGAGAGATGGTTCTGGCTTTGATTCAGCCCAGGGAGAACAGAATGAAATCGACTGATCAATTCCGCTCTGCGTCCATTTCATTTACCGGCCTTTCTTTCGCCGATGCCCACTCATTTAGGCTCACTGTTTCCTTAAGGCGAGTGATGCACCCATGTCTTCTTTTTTGGGCACGGAGTTGGCCTCTCTGGGAAAGAGACAGGGAGGGGGACCACCCACCCATATCCCCACCCCCCCGGTCCTCTTTGCTTCCCACCCCACTTCGTTTCCTCCTTCCTGCCTCCCCACCCTTGCCTTGGGGGCTCTCAGAAGCCAGGGGTCCCTTCCGTGCAGGCATGCGTCTGAGTGGGCCCTTCCCTCTCTGGAAGCTGCAGCGGAGCCGCCCCCAGTGTAGGTGTGGGGGAGGTGCCAGCGAGAAAGGGTGGATGGGGGGGGTAGAACTGGCTTCCCCTCCGAGTTGATTAAGCTTGCCAGCTTCACCATTGTGTCAGGAGCTGCCTTCCCTGCTCCTCTCATAACCCTCCTGCTCATTGTCTTTTTATCTGCCAATAATGAAAGGTGACGGCACGTAATAGGCCTCAGCAAAGAGGTTTATCAGTGCTTTAATTTCACAGTTGAGAAGGTAGAGGAAGGTGGGCGAAGGGAAGGCGACGTGGCTCCCTCCTTCCCCCCTTTCCCTCCCACTCCCTCCATCTATAGTAGGAGAAAGAATAGAGATGGGAGGTAAAGGGGTCAATCTAGGGGTTTCTTCTGACCCTAAAATATTCCACTGAGCCCCAGATCCAGGAAAGTGCTGGAGGCTGGCTCTCTAAAACATGAGTAGGAAGTATAAAGGAACATCTCGGAGTGCGCCGGGTGTCTTCCTCCTACTCTTGAATAAGGACTGCCAAACCCAATAAATCAATAAGCCATGAGTGGCAGATAACAAAAGTGCAGCTTTTTCAGAAGGTGCAAACCCATCTTCATATCTAAATCAGCCTTGACGTTTGCGAGCCCATTCTCAACCCTTCCGGTCTTGTCGGGCATTTCTCCTTCTGCCGGCCATTCTTCCACCTGTTGTCCCTCTTTTCTGTCTGCCACCAATCCGTGAGCGATACTGTGGTCCTCGGCGTGGCAGACAGCTGCCGTAGGCCCACCGTAGGAACTGACTTGCTCAGATCAAAAGAACGTGTTGGAAACTGGGCTTAGGGTTTCAAGAAGCTCGAACATCCTTTCCAAAAGGCAAAAATTATTGGAAAGCTCCGCATTTTCCTGCCATGAATTTAGATCTCAACGCTGGATAATACGGTGGAACATTTGCACAGTTTAGACCAATGAACTCAAAAAGACACATGCAAAAAGACACAGCCTTCACCATGAGCTGGCTTGGCCAGGATTTCTGGGAGTTATACTCCAAGAATACAGTATCTGGGGACCCGAGATTGGGAATCCCTGCTCAAGAGGAAAATTCACGGCCCCCTGTCCCTCTGTGGTGCATGTGGCCATTTTGGCCATTTACTCTCTGGGCTCGGTGTCTCTGGTTCACAAGCCACACCTACAGTTGCGCCAGGATTGAGAGGCCAGCTGACAGTTGGGTGAACGCTGGCAAAGAGAGCCGGCAGCAGAACATGACATTTAATCAAACGGCACTCTCCGCTCCCCGAGGAGGAGTTTCAGGTTGCTGTCCCTCCAGGGGAAATGCTTGAATAATTCTCTGTGTTTGTGCCAACTTCCTGCCTTTGATCACTTGGTGAAAAAAGAGGGTTTTTTTGGGGGGGGGCACTTGTGTTTGGAGAACCTTTGAACAATTTTAAATAACTAAATAGGCTCTCCTTAAAAGATTGGGCAGGGGAGGGGAGGATCCTTCATTCCCATACTGGATCTTGGTACATATAATGTGTGTGTAGTTAAGTCTGAGGCACAGTAACAAATAGTTTTTGCCAAACAAATCGCAGTGTGATAAATCCAAAGCCCACTCTTCCAGATATTTTGGAATGTGGAGGGGGGGAAAAAAAAACCACCAGCCCCTAAAGATATATTAATAATAAAATAATTAAAGAACAATTTGCAGCCCTCTCATAACTCCCTGAAGCTGGTGCCAGGGATGTTGGTTTTAACTGCCTAATGGCAGGGCCGGCCCTAACTTAAGAAACCATGGCAACCAGGATGACGTTTTGTCCCTTTGTTGGTGCCCTTCCATGATGACACACTTTGCAAGTGTAGCATTTGGGGTTCAATCAGCTCTGTGCCTGCTCAGTGTATTAAATGATGTGTTTTCTTCCAAATGTTACAGCCGTTATCTGAGGTGCTGAACCCTATCCAAAAAAGGGGTGTGTGTGTTTCAGTACCTTGGACAGCGCTTTTCAAAGCACAGCTATTCATGGTGCTGAATGAATCTACGCAATAAGCTCAAAATAGATCAACTCCTATAAAGCACAAGATGTAAAACCCACAGTGGATTCGCTGCACCTCTGAGAGTGGACTCACTGTTTGTTCAAAACCAGAGTCGTCCTCCAGGAGTTCATCTAGTTGTGTATGAGCAACCGCGATGGCTGCTCTCCATCATCATCCACTGTGTAACCCTTTTAGCTGGGGATGCCAGAGATGAATATGGTCCCTTCCCTCACATGAAGCAGGTGTTCTACCACTGAGCTGTAGCTGTTCTCCATCCTATATAATTTTTTCCCCTTCAGAACTCATTCTCCCTCTTATCCTAAGCAATGCAGATTTAATTAAAACAACCCAATCAGCTAGAAAACATTCAATGAACTAGCTAAAATGCATTGAGTGACAGCTTCAGAACATAGGATGCTCATGAGGGCTAGAAACTTGACTGTATTTTCAAGCAAGCAGAGGAATTCTAAGAGCTGTTGAATTCCAGCGTAGAATTCTACTCTGGCACACTGTGATTATTAAAAAGGGGAAAAAATATACACAGCTCTAGTTAAGGTAGACCATAAGGAAGGATTCAACTCTTGCGTTTTCTCTCTTGGACAGAATGTAGCTCAGGAGGAGGCTCCGGCTCTGGGGACTCGAACGAGTGTGGCCGGGAGGTCTGCCGGCAGTACGGAGGCTCCTGGGATGATGACGTGGAGGATGATCGCTGCGTGTGTGACTACACCTGTGGAACTGTGCCAAGGAACTTGGTAGGTGCCAAACACCTGTGTCGTTTGTTAGCCCAGCCAAACAGAAAGCCTCCTTGGGGGGCCCTTGAGGTCGTGAGCCATCTGTTGGTAGTCCTTTTCAGCTCTGAATTTCCTGCATCCAGAAGGAGGTTGAGTGGAAAGGTTTTCAGGTTGCAGGGGGGCGGGGGGAGGGATAGCCACCTAGGGTCTGAGAGTAGCTCCCACCCCACATTTCACCAACCCCACCCCTCGTATTCCCCTCACCCAAGAGTCCAGCGCCTTGTGACACGTGGCCTGAATTAAAATTACTGTGTAGCTACTCTGCCTTTTCCTTTTTTGCAACACCTCTCTAGAGGGCGTGCGTTAAAAAGCAGGAGGAAACGTGGGAAAAATAGTAGATGTTTTTGTTACATAACAGCACTGATGTTACCTTTTTTGCAACACCTCTCTAGAGGGTGTGCGTTAAAAAGCAGGAGGAAACGTGGGAAAACATAGGATGATGAAAAATAGTAGATGTTTTCCCATCTCCCTGCCCCACTAAAATAAAATCCCATGTACGAGACAGGGTGATTTAAAAAGTCTTGTCCGGAAGAAATCTCTACGGCACCAGCAGAAAGAGAATCACTTCATTTAATTCTGACCTCTTCTGGATAATTCTCTCACCTGCACTGTTTATATTTTCCTTCTTGCTGTAATTGTGCCGTTCCCGCTGTTACCCAGAAACCTCATTTTCCCAGTTCGGCTTTATTTCTGTTAGGCTCAAAATACAGATTTCAATTCAGCCTCTTTCTGGATGCATACGAAAGAAGTCTAGGCTCCAACCATCTTGTTTTGACATTGTAAGTAAATTATCAAGGTTTTTTGAAGTCCTCCTTCTGGAAGGACCCGTGAGTGCTCTGGGAAGGATGGGTCACATCCTTTGTGGGAAGATCGGCTCCCGAGGAGGCAACCCTTGTCCTCCAGAGCATTGGAGCGGTGCTCTAGTGTGTGAAAGTTGCCAGACCCCTCTGCTGTGCCACAGAGTCCAGTAGAAACTGCTCAGCAGGCGGGTATTGGAGGTGAAGAATAAGGTGGGTGGCGATGACGGTGAAATAGATCTGGAAGACTCACACAGGCTGTGTAGAGCTCCCACATTTATTTCTCCACGATTCCCTCCCACCGTGGGCGCAGGCTGTGCAAAAAGAGCAAGTCCAGACACAGACAGGTAGGGGTGTGACTTCGAATGTCGAAATCCACCCGCCGTCCAAGGTTGGGGGCTCGGGTCTGCTTCGATCTCCGTCCGGATTGTGGATGACTCACCTCCTCTTTGCTCTTCCGTGCAGGTCTGCGGCTCTGACGGGGTGACCTATGCCAACGAGTGTGAGCTCAAGAAGACGCGCTGTGAGAAACGGCAAGATATCTATGTGGCGAGTCAGGGGGCCTGCCGAGGTAACCCTCCCATCCAGGGCAAGCTGGTCCAAGACAATTTGCTGCCTGAGGCAGGCCGCCCCGTGGCTGTATCCGCGTCAAGGTGCATAGTAGCTGAAGACAGCCAAATCATTTGGTCCCACAAAGGGGGAAAAACAAAACAAAACAAAACAAAAAAAATCCACCCAGCACCTGTCTCTCCATCCCTGGCAGTAAAAATGCAATAATAACAGAGCCAATGAGGAAGAGTTTTCTGCCTTTCTAGAGCACCGCAGACTTGCGGCCTGAAGTGGCTGCCTCCCTTCACCTTTGAAGGCACTCTCTTCCCGGCAGTCTCGTAATTTCATGTCGTGTCCTACTGATGATGAACTCCTCTCCCTGTCTAGACCAGCTTTCCTGGCACCCTGCGGGGGACTGTACTCCCCATCATCCACAGCCATGCGGAGTGGGGGATGATAGGGGTTGTGGTTACCCAGCAGCAACTTTAATTCATTTCCTTCTGACCATGCCTCCCTTTTGGAGTTACAGCTGTTGTTTGAAACATAGCCTTACTGCCTTGTTGTTTATTTTTTAATGTTTCCCCCCCAGAAGTCACCAAGGTTCTGCCTCTCCCTGATGTCCTCCACTGCAGCCAGACCGTTTATGGATGCTGCCCGGACAACCTGACCTTGGCTCTCGGGGTCGGCTCTGCCGGCTGCCCCAGTGAGTTGAATTCATCTGCTTTGGTAGCCTTGAAAGGGCAGAGGGCTTCAGCTCTTGAGATGCGCGTCTCTTGTCTCTACACCCATGGAGTGGTCCCCCACTTTGAGTCCCCAGAGATCCTTGGACAAACTCCCAGAAGCCCTCTCCACGAGCTGGGCTGGCCAGGATTCCTGGGAGGTGTCATCCGAGAACATCTGGGGACCCAAGGTTGGGAACTACTGAACCGACTGGGAGGGCCAGGGTGACCCCCAAATGTGTACAGTCTTTTGATCTGTATCTTGAGTGGAGCCCCTACCCTCTTTTAGAAAAGATTGGAAGACAGGCCTTCTTGGGGAGGTGCCGTCCGTTTCGCAGACTGCTCAGCCCAGGGCTGATTTGAAGGTCACAAACGTAACATGTTGCTGGTCCACATGGAGGAGCAGACCCTAGACCTCAGAAGGAGCAACCAGATGGGTCTCCCAATCCCAGTCTTCTTCCCCTCCAAGTGAAGTGTGTTGCCAATCCGTTTAAATTATGGAAATCTCTTTAAATAATTACGAATAGGAAGATTCTCCGTTTGCACGCATAAACCAACGTATGCAGCTTAATGTAGTGTGTGGCCTCTTTTGTCCCCCCCCCTTGGGTGGTGTACAGCTGGCCATGCTGGGGAAGACTGGATTAATATTTTATGAAATAATTAGCGGGAAGTTGGCTCTTTAACCTAATGAAGCAAAGAGAGCCTTAGAAGGCTTTCCCCCGCCACCACCACCACAGCTGTGGCTGCAAGGCAGCTTGTTGGCGGGCACCCATTAGGGCAAGGGCAGGCTTCAGCCGTGTCCTATCTGAGCAGGATGAGACACTCTTGATGGGTCATGTAGAGAATCATTTCACGCATCGTATAATTTAATAAGCGGAGGCGTTCTGAAAGCAGCTTTAATTGCTCAGGAGCTCTGGGGTCACAGAACAGGCGAGGTCACCTGTCGGTGGAACAGAGGATTGTGTGGCTTACCTGGTGGTATCATGCTAGTAACCTAGGTAACGTAGTAGCCAAGAGACCGAAGGATGGTTGATGTACCTCTCTTTAGACTTTAGTCGCAAGAGCTGTCGTCTGGTACATGCTGGCGTTTGCCTTTAGCCCTGTCTACGAGGGAGCTCCTCTGAAGTTGTATTTGGTCCTGGATCTGAAATAGACCCCTCTTCCTTAGTCTCGGGACCCTTCCGGGACTGCCTCCACAACCCTAGCCTGGCACATGGACATAATAAAACTGGCCTGATTTGTAGGATTTCTCTAATGGGTCACAGAGTCATGCATGTATTTGCAAAGTAGTCACTTTTGAATTCCTTTGGTCCAAAGAAAGCTTTCTGCTCATGTGCAGCTGCTGGCTGAGATAAAGGTTCAAGACAGGAAACATAAGGGTTTTGATTTTTCTCTTCGTACTGTAGTTCCTGGGATCTTTGTCGTAGGCTACTGACTCTGTTGGCCAGGGGATCCTGGGAGCTGTAATCTAGAAAAGTAACTTTTCTCATCTCTAATGGAATTTCTGCAGGGAGTATTCCAAATTGCATCTCGGTTCATGCTAGTTGCTGGCCATGACAGTCAGTCTTTTTTGCCTGCCCGCAGGAGCTGCAGGTATGCACTAGAATATGAATGGAATGTGTAGTCCAAAAAAGAGAGAGTGAAGCGAGACACGGACACAGCATAAGTTCCACAAGATTTCAGAAGCTAGAGAAAAGGGGCAGGAGCCGTGCTCTGAGTGGGTGTAACTCTGTTTCCCTTGACTGCCCTGCCCCTATTGCTCTTGGCAGGGAGTGGATCCGTCCCATCCGTCAGGTTGGCCTTGTTTGCATCTCCCCCACCCACTCTGCTTAAATCCATCCCACCTTGCATCAAAACTCTCTTTAACTCGTGTCCTGCTTGTGCCCTTGCAGCTGCAGTGAGAGGCATAAATCACGATGTAATCGCCAGCCCATAAAGCCTTCCTATGTGTGGCAAGCATCAAAATTCATTCCCTGTGGTCAGATTCAGTAATCATTCACCACCTCCCGTTTTCCTCTCCAAACGACGAGTGTAACTTCTATCGCCTTGGTGCGTCCGTGTCTCGCTTCTCCAACCACCTGTCCCAGAAAAGACCGGCTTCCTGTTCGGGCCAGCCCACTCATTTCCTTCCCGTAATCAAACATACTTCAACCCATTCCTGTGGAGAAACAAAACTGAGAGTCGGACACAGCTAGCATTTTAGCATTCGATTCCCACCGGCTGGGAATTTGCAGAACTCCTCGGGGAGACGATGGCCGTCACAACTCACAAAGCAGTTTGGCCGGGCATGGCTTGAAAATGAGTAGGGCTCCTTAGGAAACCTCATGTTATTTCTGTGCTACTGTTTCCTAAGTTGCCATTGTACCGGAGGAATGCCAAATGTGCTACTGGACACAGAAATCAGAGTGGTCTATTGACTAGATAGGCGGGATATAAATAAAATAAATAAATAAAAAATAAAATAAAAAAAAGCTCACCTTCCCTTCTTAAAAATAAACTGAAATAAAAATGTACTGGACACAGAAATCATTTGAAAAGCTCACCTTCTCTTCTTAAAAATAAACTGAAATAAAAATGTTTCTTGCTTCCATGGCTGCAAATAAAGCATGTGGGAGGCTTTTGCCATGGAAGCCTCTCTCCCTCCCCCTCTCTCATACACACACAAACACTCACACAAAATTCAGTAAGCAATTTTTATGGGCATCTAGAAGGTCCCAGGTCCAATCATGGGACTCGCCAGCCCCTCTCCCAAAAAGGACCAGGTCCCAAGTGATGTGAAAGACCTCTGCCTGAATCCCTAGAGACCCAACCCCAAATTGGAATAGATAACACTAGGCGTGATGGATCCCTGGCTCAGTTCAGTGGCAGGCAACCCTGTTCGTGCAGCTGTGCTGTGGCTGATGACATCACTGACCTTATGCAGCACAGCCCCCCAAACAGGATTTCAGCCAGTGTAAGGCACTTTGCCATATTCCCAAAGCAGAGATGAGGCTGAATAAAATGTGTTGTCAGTACTATAGCTCCCGTTGTCAACCCTCTAAACCTTCACGACTAGCAGAACAATCGGAATAAATTGTGCAGAACAATGAAAATGTAAGCCTGAAGGCAAAGACTGTCTTATTATTGATCTTTGTAAGCAGCTTTGGGAGCCTCTCTCTCTTTTTTGGCTGAGGATTGAGCTCAAGTGCTTTAATTAAATAAGAATGTCAAAATGTTCTTAAGAGAAATAGATCTCTTCACAGAAGCCACAGACCCACCCCCTTTTTTTGAAAGAAAAAAAAACACAGAAAAGCTACAGTCACTTCTGCACCTTGTTTGAAGCTTCTTGCTTCCCCCAATTTCTTTAGCCTATTTTTAGTATTATTCTTGGGTCAATAGCTGCCTGTTTTGCTGTGTGTGTTATGCTTTGTTTGTTTCTTTTGTGGTTGTGGTACCAGATGCAAAAGAATCCAGCACTCCTGCCCCCTTTCGTTGTTGTTCAGGAAAAGGAATTTCAGTCGGCAGGGAAAGCCACACCTGTGGATGTGATGTTCCTTCTTCCACACAACTATTTAAAATGCAACACACACACACAGCCTTCTGTATGAATCCAAAGGGACTGCGGTTAATCCTTCTCTTTTCCATAGACCATTTGGGCTGGAGTTTGGAGAACCGAAGGAAGCCAAGGGTCTATACTTGAGCAATTTGGAGGACTTTTGTATTCTTTGTTAACTTCCCTTCCTTGCCCATGATTTGGGGACTAGAGTATGTGTGTATATTTTTGGAGAGCCCAGGAGGCTTTTCCGGACTGAGCAGATTTGTGGGGACTTGACCATTCACCCGAACCCCACGCCCCCACCCCTCTTTTATAGGTACCTGCCACTGCAACCCTTACGGCTCCTATGGAGGAGGTTGTGATCCTGCCACTGGCCAGTGCTCCTGCAAGCCTGGTGTCGGGGGCCTGAAATGTGACCGCTGCGAACCTGGCCTCTGGAACTTCCGCGGCATTGTCACCGACGGCAAGAGCGGCTGCACGCGTGAGTACCTTTGGTCGCAACCGGCAACCGCTCGGTTAGAGGCATGGACCGGAAAAAGCCCCATGTGCAAAGGGAGGCCCTTGTCGCTCCTGCCCCACATCTGCGAAGTGGTTCAGCACATAAGTGGGCCGAAGGATAAGACCAGTGGTTCCCAGCCTGGGGTCCCCAGACATTCTTGGACTACAGCTCCCAGAAGCCTTCGCCACGAGCTGATCTGGCCCAGAGTTCTGGGAGTTGTAGTCCAAGAACATCTGGGGACCCCAAGTTGGGAAGCGCTGGATCAGATATTTACCGACTACTTTCTGGGAGCGAGGCCACATTCCATATTTAATAAAACTTGGTTGAACTCTGTTCGGTCTTGCTCTCGAGCAGAGGCCTTTCCTTAGGATTTTTTAGACACATAGGGGCTGAAATTGAGTAGGATGTTGGAACTCGTGTCAGCGGAGATTCGGTGAGTCAACTCTACTGTAAGTTCTGTTGATTCAGTGGGTCTGATCTAGTGCGACTCACTGCTGGATTTCAACCATTGTCTGATAAGTTCTTGCAGGTAGCTATCCGTAGATGAACATTTGGCTTCAGAGTGCAGTTTGAAAAACGGTTCTTTCTAAAATACTGAGCCTTTTGTACCATCTCTGTAACATTGTTTTAATCTCTTGTTTGTAAGTGACTAAACATTTTCAGTTGATTTTTATACAAACAACTAGTATTGTTTTGGGAGGAAATGAGCTAACACTTTTCTCTAGCTCTTCACAGCAAAATAAGGAATACATTTCACTAAAGTAGGCAGTTTTGAAGGCCCAGCTTATGCCACTGTACATTACCTTAAAGGACAAGAATTTATGCTTCTTGAATACAAAATCAAGGAAGGAAATCACAATGCCTGATCAGCAGGTTGGAGGTGTATACAGAGGGAAATGGTCTGCCTGTCTGCCTCGTGTTGGTTCATGGAAGCTTTAAATTCTAGATGTCAAGAAGAAGCTGGCCCCGTCCCTTTCTAATAAGCATGAGTGAAAACATCTCCTTCCTTCCCTCCAGCTATTAACAAAATTTGGCGTAATGCTTTCCAGATGTTGACCACACTTCCTTTTTGCTGTTAAGAAGAGCTTTAGGAAAAACCTGATGTTCCCATTTCCAGATGTTTTTGATAACAGTGGTTTGCCATGCACCTTGCCAGATGTTAGCAGTAGCCCCCTTTGGGAGGTTCATTCTTCCAGATGTTCAGCACAAACACCAGATTTAATCCTGCCTATTGTCTCCAGCTGTAACAATTAATATTCCACAATCCGGCTGGGTGTGACTTAAATGAAAGGCTAGGTTTGCTGGACTGCTGTGGTAAAAAGTGCTGTAAGGCTAAGAGTCAGGAGAAGCGCCTCTGCCGGCCACAATCTAGTCCAGGTGGTTGTGGGATGATGGGATTTGTAATCCAACATGTATGGATGCTACCAGGTCAGGCAAGGTTTAGCCCAACAAGTCACTAAGATGCAATACTTGGTAAAGATATTTCAAGGTACATTTTGGGCGTTAGCATTCAAGAATACCTAGTTAGCCTGCTGGGGGATTCAAAGAGTTCCAGAAGAAATATTTTTTAATATCCTTTTTTACAAAATATATGGTAAGAGAAGCTCCAGCATCAATCATTCTTTGATGTCCCAAGTAAAACAAGACCTACTTAACTCCATGTTGTGCATGATGTGGTAGCTGTAAAGATGCCAAGCCAAGCAAACACACTGTGGTACCCTCCTCCGTTGAGATCTTCAACACAAAGAGATCAGTGTTGGCACCTGGGGACAGTGTGAGCCGGTGCCATGTCTTAAGAGACGTTGTCCTCAGCTGCCAGCTGTGGAAAGCTGGATCCACCCAGAGAATGACCCCCAATTGAGATCTCCAAGATAGCATGGATATACTAGCTTCATAATTCGAGGAGTTATAGTGGAGCAAAGTAATTTTGCTGAACTCTGGGAGATGCTACAGTTCCATGAATGGGAATAACCTGGTCGATCATCCAGCGATAACATTTTCCTGAATTTTTCTGCTAGCTCCTGAAAACGTTTGCTCGGGACAATTTCCCTCCTGGCGTCTTCCATTTCCCGTACATCTTTGGTCTGACATCTCAGGTTGGCCTGCTGCCCTTCTACAGAAAAGCCAGGGCATTCGGGTGGAGAGAAGATGCAGGCTCGCCGCAGAGAGGCTAAACGGATCCATGTTCGTGCTATTCCCTGGACCAACACGGAAGTGAACTGCAGCAGGAAGGAGGAGAGGAGAAAGTGAACGGAGGAGGGAGGCAGGGAGGGAGAGAACTGTGTTAATTTCAAGCTCCATTGGAGACACAAGCATAGAAATCGATAATGTGGCAAACAGAGAGAGGGTTGGAATTATCGAGGGAAGGAACAGCGAACAAGTGAAAATGTGAATTCTCTCTCTCTCTTCCTCTCTCTGTGAAATTATTATAAAGACATCCTCTCCCCCTCTCCACTCGTCTCTCATGAGCGACAGGTCTGAATTGTTCTGGAGGCCTCCGTCCTCAAATGGAGATGGCTTTATCCATCCCGGCTACTTCTCTTTTCACACACACACAAATAAAATAAATCCATTTCCCCAGAGTTGAGCACCAGATTGGGGATCTGAGGCACCGGAGCTCCTTTCTGGGTGCTTAGCTCATTGAAGTTATAAAATCTGTGTGAGTGAGTGTGCATGCGCCAGGAGACACACATGCGTGCACACACACCGCTAAGAGCTAATAAGTAGACGCTGATGATCATGCTGGGAATTGGAATGTTTCTTTCTAATAGCATCACTCATTAACCGTTGGAACAGATGACAGAAGGGAGCTGATGAATCCTCTACCATTCTGAAGCCATCTGTCCCTTTGTGAAGGAACCCACTCTTTGTAAAAGGAACCAAAGACACTCTCTTTTTTCCCCCGCTCCCCATTGAGAGTTTTTAGACCATAAGTGGTTTGTTTTATAACTTTCTCTCCCCCTCCCTTCTCTTAAAACACTCATCAGAGAGTTTGGGAAAATAGCAAAGGTTCCTCCGTTTGTGCATGCAGTCAGGATTTTGGGAGCCAGACTGAGCTCAGTTTTTTTTAAATTGCCGACAGGATATTAAAAAAAATAGATTTGTTTGCAATATGGTGCTGAAGGAGAGCTTTGTGGGTTACAAGACGGGGAAACCACTTCTGAGAACTTGTTTCCCAGAAAACCCGGAAAGAAGGGTGGCCATGAATCAGAATTGACTTGACGGTACCGGAGGAAGATGATGATTCTGTGCTCATCTCACATTGAGTCTTCATTTTGTAGCTGTTCCGTACTCGCTATTGGTATTTTGCCTTTTATTAAATCTGGTGTACCGTGTCCAGAGAACTCTGGTTATCCCATGGTCTAAAAGGACGACAAACAAACAAATAAATGGGCTGACTGGCAGGCAGACAAACGAAGCTGTTTCATGTGCTGTAAAATAGCAGGTTCATCATCCAGCCTCTCCCATTCAAGTGACATGGTGTCAAGATGCGGGGAAGGCCTCCCTTGCCGCCGGGTGTCCCAGAGAGCTGATCAGAGCGGAGATAGATCGACGCAAAATAGCCTGACCTGGAATAACAGGAGGACGAGCGGCTTCTGTTCTCGGGTTCTGCCCAGCAGGCTCTCAAGAACAGAACTCTCTTTAATGCAGCGAGAGAAAGAGAAGGGGAGGTTAAGCTCTGTGAAGAAAGATGGAAGAGCAGAGTATCTGTTGGAGAAGAGGCCCCGGCAAGGCATTATTTTGGGAAAGCCGTCTTCAAGCGCTTTCAAGGCTGTCACTTAAAGGCGGGCACAAATTTCTTCTGTATGGGCTCTCCAGGAGTAGGATGCAAACTAGCCGCTTCAAATGAGGAGAAAGGAGATTTCAGTGCAATCTCAGGAAAGGTTCCCAGGCGGCACAGGTGCTTTGATGGCGGGGTTGCGAGGTTGGGACAAGAGGTGACCTCTTGGGATTCCTGCCAGTGCTACGATCCTGCAAAGTGTGTGTGCGTGTGGGGAGGGGTTTATCCCAGGGGCTCAACCCGGTTTCTTTTCTTCCCCACCCGTTGCCTCCCTGGGAAGCTTGTCACTGTGACCCCGTGGGCTCCGTGCGCGACGACTGCGAGCAGATGACCGGCTTGTGCTCCTGCAAAGCGGGCGTCACCGGCATGAAATGCAACCAGTGTCCCAACGGGAGCAAGCTGGGGGTGTCCGGCTGCGAAAAAGGTAAGGAGGGCGGATCGAGAGGGAGGGGGGCGGGCAGGGTCTTTGGTTCTTTCTGGGGTGGGAGGGGCTTGATAGAAGAACCCAGAAAGGCTGCCTTATTTAGGGATACAGTCTTTTCACTTCCCTCCATCACAGCTTGGAAGTAATAAGGGAGGGGGGTGGGGAGGCTCTTTGGTCCTTTCCGGGGTGGGAGGGGCTCCCCCCCGAGTTGATGGAAGAACCCAGAAAGGCTGCCTTATTTAGGGATACAGTCTTTTCACTTCCCTCCATCACAGCTTGGAAGTAATAAGTTGCCAGTTACATAGGCATCCGTAACAAGTTATTTTTGTAGGGTTGGTATCCAAGGTGTGTAGCTAACATACGAGTTAGCTGTGCAAGGACTGCCTGGGCCTAATCCAGAAACACAAACGTGCACAGCAAAGGAGCAAAATGTGCAAATGAATTTATTTTATTGGCATAAGTCATTTTTTTCTCCTTTTTTAAAAAGTTGCTTTTTTAAAAACCTTTTTTTTAGTTATTTTGACAGAAGAGTTTGTGGCAGGGAGCCTTAGGTGATTCTCTTATCAGTCCAAAGGTGTGTTTGCGTGTGTGTAAAAGAATTAGTAACATAACGGCTGAAACCTTGTGCCACTACACCAGTGGCGTACCTTTTACATATGGATTGTCGTGAGCTAAGAAATCGTCATCCATTCCTTAACTTATATTTGTTGCATACTGGCTGAGTGAACCGGTGTGTGGCGGAGAATGTGTACAGCTGTTAATTGATGCCAATTTCTATCTAAAGGTGACATCGTTCATGGTAACTGTGCATCAGGATTTCAGCCAAAAAGTAATGCAACAATTTCCTCTTAATACAGAGTAATAAATAATCCTAATGCACTACTTTGCAAATCCTCTGATCGGAAGCAACTATTCTCTTTACCTTTCCAAACTCTGCTCCCCACCAAGCGCAGAAGGGGGCCAAACAAAGCGGAGGTAAATCCCAGGAGCCGTTCAGCATCAGGGCCTCCCTGATATCTCCTCTGTCTTCCGTAGACCCCTCGGCCGCTTCGTCCTGTGTCGAAATGGTGTGTGAGTTTGGGGCGTCGTGCGTGGAAGTGAACGGCTTGGCCCACTGTGAGTGCCCGTCTCCTCTCTGCCGAGAGGCCAACATGAGCAAGGTGAGCGGAAGGAGAACATGCCAGAAAAGAGGGCAGAGGGGACTCTACTCGGAGAGCCCGTGGGAAGGGCCTCCTCCTCTTTCTCCTCCTCCTGGAACGGAGACAGGAGATCTCCTGGGAGCTGAAGAGGGAGGGCTCTTCAAGGGAGGTGGTGTTCATTCTGCAAGGATGCCCAGCCCCTTTGCACTCATCTTTCTGTCTCCTTTCTTTGTTCCATTCTTTTGTTATTCTTAATTGTTCCCTTGTTTTGTTCCTGCCAGCGGCTTATGTCCTATTTTCTATGGGCATATTTCTATAAAGCTTTTTCTGTTGTTCTCCACAAGAACCCTGACCTTTATTATTTCCATATAACTAAAGAGGGGACAACAGCACTTATGGAAGAGGGTACTTTATTTGGTCAAAGCTGCTGGCGTAGATATACAGTTGGGATAGATTTTGGTGGAAGACCCGTCATATCTTGGGCTTGTATTCTAGTCCTGCCCCTAGCCTTAACCCTAAACCTAGTGATAAACCTAACCCTAACTCTAATGCTACCTCTAACCCTAACTCAGACTGTAATGCTAGTGATAAACGTAGCCCTAACGTTTAACCCTCACCAGTGGAAGAGACTTGTGAGCCGTCTAAGCCTGAGATGCTCCAGGTTGTCTCAACCCAACCTCTGTGAATGTGGGGCTTCCATGTTTGTAACAACATGGGTGCTGCTTGCTTCTAGGAGCTCATGAGCCACCACAGTGCCCACCAGGCAACAAAATCATGGTGAGGCAACCAGGTTGTGAGCGTCAGGCCACGGCATTGTCCCTAGAAGGCTTCCAGTTTGGAGGGGAAGGAGGTGGAGCCTCCTTGAGGGCGGAGGTGAGGCTGTCTGGGAGCAGCTTCAGCCGCAGGGGGGGGGGGAGAGGCTCCCAGGGAGCTGTCCCGGGTGCTGACTCCTCTTGATTCGGCCCAGCCAGCTTTCCAGACTGGCCTGACTGGGGCGAGGCTTATGTTCAACTCTCTGGCCTTATTTTCACTGCCTGTTTTTTAGGGGTGAATTTTTTTTTAGTAGTTTTGAGACCCACCCACCCAAATGATCTGATTCACACCCTCCATGGATGCCTCTGATCCATTTCACACAACCTATATTTTATTTGATATGAACAGAAGACAGAAATATTTTTTATATCCCTACCCGGTCCCTTCTTACTGCCTTCCTCACCCCCTCTCCCCAGAATTCTATGGGGCTTGGATGATGCATTGATAAAGGCATAGCCCAGTTATTTTTCTAGGCGTTTAACCACCTCTTCTCCCTCCCTCTCTCTCTCTCTCCCCCTCGTCTTTCTAGGCATTTAACCACCTCTTCTCCCTCTCCCTCTCTCTCTCTCTCCCTCTGCCCTCTCTCTGTGTGTTTGTCTCTCTCCCACTCCTCTCCCGACACACATGTCCTAGGTCTGTGGTTCTGATGGCATCACCTACGGCGATCAGTGCCAACTGCGGACCATCGCCTGCCGGCAAGGGAAAGTCATAGAAGTGAAACATTTTGGGCAGTGTCAGGGTGAGTTCCTCAGTGGTGCTGTGAAAAACCATCCTGTTCCATCAAGACATTGCTGAATGGAGTGGGAAGTCTGAAATGTAGTAGTCACCCTCAGAAATTGTTCAGTGGCTGTTGGTGAGAATGGCTTGTTCTTTCAAAGAGAGAGAGAGAGCAATGGATAAAGGCAAGGCAGCTGCCCAGCACGAGATCATAAGGAATACAGCAAGCTAAGACATATAGCCCTGGGCAAGATGCACAGTCCCAGAACAGCCCCCAAGGAAGGGAATGGCAAACCCCTTCTGGGGGCACTCTACTTTATTAAAAAAAACCCTGGAAAAGGTCACCATAAGTCAAGACTTGTTGGCATGCAATTATTTTTAAGACATCCTCCAGACTGCAGCTAAGCAGCTTTTTAACAAACTGTGCTGTCTCTCCCCGACCCACCTTCTGGCCTTGATCCAAAAGAGGATTCTGACTGCTCCTCACAAGTAGGGCTCAGAGATATTCACCCTTTGGACGCCAGATAAGCCTTTGAGGTTGCTTCTTGCGCCTGCCAGCATCTCTACCCTTGGGTCTTGGTAGGAAGATGTGACAACTTAGGGGATAAGGTCTGTCTGCTTCACCAAGGTTCCCTCTAGTCTGGATAACCTCATATCTGGGGAGTTGCTACTGGGATGCCAGTTGATTTATGATTAGGGCAGGAGAGAAGGAAAGAATTATGAATTCTGCTGTGCCAAAAGACCTCTAGGACTCCCATCCTAGTGACAAATATTCACATTTTGACCCCTGTAATGACTGAAAGTCAGGTATTATTTTGTCCGGAAACAGAAGACGGAAAATTTATAGCTGTGATTCCAGATGAGATCTTATTGATTTTGGTGTGTGATACGCGAACTGATGGATTAACCTGAACTGGAATCAGATGGATGGGGTAGAGTTTGGAGTTGTCTGAAATACGAAAGGTGATTTGGAAATCAGACTCTCTCTCTCTCTCTCTCTCTTCCTCAGCTGTTCTGCCGGAATGTTAAAATGCATATAATGTCAATTCATCTCACTTGTCTTTTTTTTAAAAAAAATAATCTGAATCATGAGTCTCGAGGCACAGTAGTTAAACTGCAGTACTGCAGCCAAAGCTCTATTCACACTGCGGGTTCAATCTCAAGTAGTTGGTTCAATGTATTTATTTAAAATATTTTTACCCTGCCTTTCTCCTCAAAAGGACCCAAGGTTTCCTCAGTTTTCCATTCTTCTGAGGCTGATAAATAGAGTACCCAGCTTGCTGGGAGGGGGGGGGAATGGGAGCAATGTGTAGTCTGCGTAATTAAATTGTAAACAACTCAGAGAGTGCTTTAAGTGCTATGGAACAATGTGTAAGGAGCACACTTTGCTTTTTTTATGACATAAAAGTCATGTCATATTGTGGTCGCTAGAACTTGTGTTTGTGTGTTGGTGGATGGGTATTAATGTTATGTAATGTATTGTAATGTAACTCCTACAACCCAATGTGTAATATGTGTTAAATTCCTCCCCCCCCCTACAATAACATCCTTTGTGAATGCTTAGGAGCCTCCTCCCAATAGCAAACAGCAGTACTCCAGAGGTTTTATGGTGCCCTCTTCATGGCTTGTGTCCTGCACTACAGGGTGAGTTTTGCAAGTCCCTGGCCTATTTCTGATCAACCCCTGTCTTTCCTTTTGCTCCAGAGTCTCTCATGCATTCCAGCCACACCACGCCACCCACAACACTACGGCCCCTGGACTCCCTTCTCCTCCCTCCGCCCCCACGAACCACTCCTCCAGTTTCTGAGCCGGCAAAGACCGCCACGGGCTCCCAGCATTTTGCAGGCAAAGCCTTCCATCCGAGCCACCCGGCCACGAGGCGGGTGGGCACCACCCCTCACCCGGCCACAACGTCCTGGACCACGCACAGCGTTCGCCAGACGTCCATTCGTCCTCTCTCCACTGCCCCGGTCACCCCTGCCGCCAGCCAGCCAGCTTACAGCGAGTCCGGCAGCGCGGAAGGCAGCGGGGAGCCAGAGATGGGCGCCAGCGGAGACCAAGAAGGCAGCGGCACGGGATCTGCCGGTAAGGCAGCGGCTCTTTTGACAGTCACGGGTTGGGTTTCGTCGTCCTTACAAGCAATCCTGGCTCACCCAGGAGGCCAGTCTAGACCAATGTCTTATTCACTCAGTGCCTGTGGGAGCAGATGCTCCGTGTCGTGTTTTCCCCATCCCTGATATTCCGAGGCAAAGTGAAGAGCGACACGCAGGCATCTGTCTTCACTAGTTTTATTTGTTTTATTTAAATCATTTATATGTCACATTTCTCCCGACAGGGGACCCCAGGCAGCTCACAACAGATTAAATAAGAAATTTGAAAATATATAAAATATATAAAAGTCACATTTAAAAACCAATTAAAGAGACATTGAGATTGGCCATTAATTTCAGTGCCTGTTTAAAAAAATCCACGGCCATCTCTGCATCATGTGGCAGTGAATTCCATAGTTTTAACTGTGCAACCTTGCAGAGACAAAGGCCTCGTGGCGCAGTGGTTAAAACGCTGTATTGCAGCTAAAACTGTGCTCACGACCTGGGGTTCAAATCCCAGGCAGCTGGCTCAAGGTTGACTCAGCCTTCCATCCTTCCGAGGTCGGTAAAATGAGTACCCAGCTTGCTGGGGGGGGGGGCAATGTGTAGCCTGTATAATTAAAAAATTGTAAACCGCCCGGAGAGTGCTTGTAGCGCTATGGGGTGGTATATAAGTCCAAAAAAAAAAAAGGCTGGCCCTCAAAAGTCTTCCTTCATGGGCTTCCCGGGAAAACTCCGGGAGCTGAACTCAGACCTTCTAGAAGATGTTTGCTTCTTTCTCAGTCACCTTACTTTTCACCCTGCAGGCGATGACGAGACAGAAGAAAGAAGGGTCGTGGGCACCCCAGTCATAGAGAGAGCCACCTGTTACAACACCCCCCTAGGATGCTGCTCTGATGGCAAGACTCCTGCAGCCGATACAGAGGGAAGCAATTGCCCAGGTAAGTGGCCCTTCCTCCTTGGTATGCCCAGCCATTGGTCAGTTCCCTGTAGCTGGCTGGGTGGCTCGCTCGGCTGGAGCACCTGGCGATGGTGCCAGGGGTCCCCTCTGTGCCTCCCATGAGAAGATCCAGCCTTGACAGCCTCGGGCAAGCTGCATCTCCAGAAGAAGGGGATGGCAAACCACTTCTGATTGTTTTATACTTTGTCAATACCGTCAACTTGAAGTCAACTTGATTATCACACAATTATTAGTTTTAATTGGCATTAGGAACACGGTTCTAGCACATTTCAAACTCTGTTCAAGTCTTACTGGCCTTCAGCCCTGGAATGCTGGGAACTGAGAAATAACCAACCAACCAATCAGAAAAGACCCCAAAACAAACCAAACCAACCGAAAACACATCCCTAGAGAGAAGAATCAAAAATCTTTGTGAAATTTTCCAACCGCTTCTGTCCCGCCTGTGCCCAGCACTTCATGCGAGGACCCACTCTGGCAGTTCTTTTGAGACTTAATAACAATTTGATGTTTGCTATCCTGCTGTATCCGCATCTGACTGTAACTGTCCATTTCCAACCTTTCCCAGGTTTTTTTGCTCTGCTCTGTTGGGTTTCCCGGCAAGAAGCCTAAAGACGACGACGTCCCCCAGCCCTTTCTCTCTCCTCCTCATATTCCTTTCTCCGTGATTTCTGTTCCTTTAGGCCTCCACTTTTGTGCATGGAAGTGCCCAAACCTTTGTCTGCGACGTGTCTGCTACTTCTTAGCTAACTGTCTTTCTCTTGTTACTCAGGATGGTCACCATCCGGGGTGGAGCTTGCAGGAACCTGTATGGTAAACCCGTGCCTTTTGGGGAGGGGGGGATTCCTCACCATATCGACAAGCATTCTCAATATACTAACCCTCCATAGCTCTGCCGCTCCTCCCCGACCCATCCGAACTAACCCCAAACGCTGGCACAACCCATAAACTCCCATCTTCTCACTCCCCGGATCCTACCGAGGGACTGAACACTCTTGGATTGTTTGGGCTGCAATGTTGTTCTTCGAAATGTTGTTTCCGTTGGCTTCCCCAAGGCCTTGGGTTGAGATAACGAAGCCGTTCCGTCTCGGTCTTGCCTCTTCTCCAACCTCCCCCTTCCCCCTGCAGCCACCAAAGTGTTCCAGGGGGTCCTGATTTTGGAAGAGGTGGAAGGCCAAGAGCTTTTCTACACGCCGGAGATGGCCGACCCCAAATCGGAACTTTTTGGGGAGACCGCCAGGAGCATCGAAAGTGCGGTGAGCCTCTTGCACCCTAACCTTGAAAAACATGCCCCACCCTCAGTTGTATCATAAAGAAATGGGATTAAGCAGACAGAGAGACTCATAACTGGGAGAGGAGGCAGCAAACTCTGCTCAAGCAAAGGTGTGTGTATGTGTTAGAATTAAAGATCCTGGAAACCTAAAATGAGGAACAGTATCGTTGAGGTGGCTTATAATTAGGCAGCTCTATCTCATTTAATACGCCCTCTTAAATCCTCATTATGGGAGAAGAGGCAGGTGCAAATAATAAGTAGTTAAAAAAAAGCAGGTGTAGATAGAGAGGCTGTGCCAGTTAGCTTGTTTTTGGACTGGATTCGTTCAAGTGATGTGGACAGGAGAGCCTGGATAAGGTACAGTTTCAGACTACAACTCCCAGAATTCCTTGCCCATCAAGGTCACTTGCCATAAAGGTTCTGAGAGCCCGAATCCAGCGAAACAATCTCTCCAAGCTGTGGTCTGGAGCAACCCCGAATCACCTCTTCCTTAAATCTTTTCCCTTTCCGGTTCCCCCCCCCTTTTTCCTGGGGCATCCATCTGATCATTAGCTGGACGAACTTTTCCGCAACTCTGACGTCAAGAAGGATTTCAAGAGCATCCGGGTGCGAGACCTGGGGCAGAGCAATGCCGTGCGTGTCATTGTGGAGGCTCATTTCGACCCCGGTGAGTGCGATCTGTGCCCCCTCCTCCTGGTGGGATGTATTCACTTAATCCCAAGAAAAAACTGCCTCCTTTCACAAACCCTGGGGATATTTGGAAAAGTTCAGGCATGCACAGCCACAGACAAGGGCATCCAAGCTACGCTTCTTTATGGTATCATCATAGATTCGAACCGAGACATGTGCATGGCTTCTCAAACCCTGGAAAAGTTCCTTTTTTGACAGACCCATCCTCACACTGTAACTCATGTCTCTGGGCGTTACCGTTCGAAACAAGCAAACAGGCGATGGCACCTTAAAGACCCACAGATTTATTTCAGGGTTGTAATCCATTCCCACCCAGATTTATTAACTTCCTCCAGATCTGCCAGTTCTGCAGAAGTACGGGTTTAAACTTTCAGGGGATTGGTGAGGACCTGGGAGGGGATGCAGAAATGTTTCCTCGGTATTCTGCCAGAATCTGTGGCTCCAAGCGGAATTGCAGTTAGTGGGGGAAACTCTGCCTCTTTGTCCTTGGAATTAAGTTCATGCAGACTTTTCGTGTTTGTTTGCTTGTTTTTAAACATAGCCCTCTGTCTTGTCAGGCGGTGAAAAGGAGAGGCACATACAGAGCAAGGAAAGGTTGCTTTAGCAGTGGGGGATTGTTAAGAAAAAGAGACACATGAACATGAAGGGCTCAAAGCTGCCCCCGCCCCTTTTGATGGCTCTCCTCCTATTCAGATGTGTCTTGTACTCTGCAAAACAGACAAAGCAGAGGAAGGTCTGGAATGGAGGGTGTGCCAGCCTTTAGATCTCTTTTTCTGCAGGGGATTGGGAGAAGGTGGGGGGTGGGTGGGAAGTGAGAGGATTTGATTTTCAACGATGGTCTCAAAAGGGGGGAGACCATACAGAGGCTCTGATGCCTCCCACCCCTTCTTTCCTTGGGCGAATCTGCAGCCACCGCCTCCACAGCGGCCGACATCCAGAGGGCTCTTCTGAAGCAGATCAAAGCGGCCAAGAAGAAGACCATTCTGGTGAAGCGGCCACAGCAGGAGAACATCAAATTCATGGACTTTGGTGCGTTTCTCCTCCTCCCCTCCCACGTCTGCTTCTCCCAAATCATTCCCTTGGCCCCAGTTTCCCTCTTAGTCCCTCTCTTTCTCTCTCTTTTTCTGCCTTGCCCCCACTTTTCCCCCTTCAAAGGAGGTCTCCGCCTGCTTCCATTCAGGTCTGGAGCCCATCAGAAACCTCCCCTCGGTGCGTTATTATCCTGTCGGCTGCCTCTCTTGTCTCCAAAGCGAGGATTTTTAGAGGACATTTTTTTATCTTGAAGAGATAATGCTGGTTTTATTTGAAGCCGTAGCAAAGCAGCCCCATCCCGAACAAATTCTTCCAGACTCCCTCGGGAGAATCGGCTCCCCCTCCAGTCTCGAAAGCTTCCTTCATCTCTTTGGGAAGATGGAAAAAGCGCTCGGCACTGCCTTTAATTAGCACCGGCTTCCCGGCGCTTTTGATCCTCCGCCGAGCCCGGGGTTTGATCTCACCCCCGCAAAGGCACAGAGGGACAATTCTCACATTAGGATCGATGCCTTGCTTAATTTGAGAGTTGTCTCGGCGCCCCTAATGGAGAGAAGGACACCTCTCGAGCTGTGGGAGTATGCAGGTTTCAGCTGGGATGACGTAAAGCACCTTTTGGAGTGGGGCTGCTCAGAGGCGGGTGCCAGCATGTGGCAGGATTGAGACGCGCTGCCTTGAGAGCCACGGTGAGGTAGAGTAGCTGCAAGAAGGCTCTTTTAGTCGTGGGGGGGGCAGATTTACTCTCAGAGAGGTTCTTGAGGGCCTCATTCTGACGTGGTGCTGAGGATGCCGAGCTAGCATTGAGGACATCTAGTCCCCAGTTTACAGTCCCCAGTGAGCCTTAGACTCACCGCTCACCTTGCTTTAGTCATTCTCTCTCCGTTAGGCTGGCCTGCCTTGCTGGGCTGTAGTCAAGCATCAAGTAGAGAGGAAGATGGCTCTTTACCCCACTTTCAAGCTGAAAGAAGACAAGCTGGGCTATTGAGGTAGTGAATAAATAAAATAAACGACTCACAGCTCAAACACCACCACTGTTCTCACCTTGCGTGAAGTTAAAAGGTAATATAAGAAAGCGCAAGGCTCATTTACCTTGCTTCTTCCAGGTTAAGGTGCAGCATCCGCTATAGACTTCCTTTACTTGAATTCTGCGGAGTCTTGACACTGATAATGCATGTTTGAGCCTCTTGTGGCAGGGAATTCCACAGTTGTTTTTCAGCAGGGCCACCCCCTCCCCAACTTTCCTTCTCATCTTTGGCTTGTTCCAGACTGGATACCTCAGCTCTTCACCACGACCACGACCACCAGCACAGCCACCACCGTGGCGCCGGCAACTGCTGCCCCGACCCGCCGCTTCACCGCCGCCCCCCGGGTCCTGTACCCGGGGAGGACTCCCAGCAAAATCTCCCTCGCACTCACCACCAAGAGGCCTGCGACCACTGCGCCGGCCACCACAGCCCGGAAGAAGCCGGTGCGGCCACCCCCGGCCACCAAGAAGCCGTCCCGGCCCTGTGAGTCCCACCCATGCCTCCACGGCGGCACGTGTGAGGATGATGGCCGGGACTTCACCTGCAGCTGTCCAGCTGGCAAGGGAGGAGCTGTCTGTGAGAAATGTAAGTGAGGTCGGGGAAACCGAGGCACTTGCCAGCCGTTGCTCTTGGCTGTGCAGAGAAGGATGATTCTCCTTTGCAAATGAGTGGATCGACAAAATTCAGTGAGAAGGGCCTCAAACCTCCGTTTTATAGATCACCAGCGCCTGCTACGGGTCAGTATTTCATGCGCGAGCGTGACAAAGGCGGCTGGATTTGCAGGGGTAAAAAAGGTCTCTGCTGCAGCTTTCTCAGGTGGAGATCATGCTAGGAAAGGGTGGAAGGCAGCAGGAAAAGAGGAAGCCCCCCCAAGGTGAGATGGAATGACTCCCTCGAGGAAGCCCCAGAATTGAGTTTGCAAGAACGGAACAGGGCCATTATGGATAAGATCTTGTGGAAATCACTGATTCGTAGGGTTGCCCTAAGATTTCCAAGCCATCCGTCGTTCAGGCGCCAACCTTGTCCCATCGGAGAGCAGCTACACTCCCCAGTTGCCACAGCCTGACACCCGTTTATCTGTCGTGACTCCGTCCCGGGTTTTGTAGTTAGTTCAGCAACTCTGGCAAGTCACGGCAGCAAAGATCTCGTTATGTGTTGGGAGTGCAAGACCAAAAGGGGGGCGGGGTGATCGACACACATCAGTCTAGCCCCCCCCCCCGTACAAATGTATAAACCTCTTTCCCATCTGAAACTCCTCCGTCTTTGCCTGTCTGCGACAGCCATCAGGTACTTCATCCCCAGTTTCGGCGGGAAGTCCTACCTGGCGTTCAAAATGATGAAGGCCTACCACACGGTGCGGATCGCCCTGGAATTCCGGGCCTCCGACCTCAGCGGGCTCCTCTTGTACGACGGGCAGAGCCACGGCAAGGACTTCCTCTCTCTGGCGCTGGTGAATGGCTTCATAGAGCTCAGGTGAGTGGCTCTGCCGGCTTGAGAGGCCATCCCTTTCTCACAGAGGGTAAAGTGAGGGCCAGCTGCTTTCCCTCCCTCTCTCTTTCTGTGAGCCTCACCTACCTTACAAGGTCGTTGTGAAGAAAAATGGAGGAGGAGAGTTATGGAACACCCCCACACACACACTGTTCCTCCAATCAGCACAACATAATGTTGAGTTACATTTATATTCCCATTTGGTTCCACGAGCTTGTGGATCTACATGAACCGTCTCCCCCCACCCCACACACAACAGCTTTATCATCACCTCAACCTTGTGAGGTAGGTCGGGCTGAGAGTGACTATCTTGAAGTGATCAGAGACTGCCGTCGCTCAGCAGGGGCTAGAACCTTGTCTTCTGAATCCCAGGCCTGCCCTCGAAACACTACTTAATACGGCCTGGGTGGTTTGGCCGTGTAAACCAGTGGGTCTCAACCTTGGGTCTCCAGATATTTCTGGACTACAACTCCTAGAGATGCTTGCCCAGCGCAGCCGGTGGTGGAGGCTTCTGGGAGTTGTAGTCCAGGAACACCTGGGGACCCAAGGTTGGAAATGGCTGGTTTAGACTGAACTTGTTTCCTCTCTGGACAATATTATAAAATGCATTTTTCACATATTAACACTTGCAAAAAAAAGTTCAAAAGTGGTTTTTTGCTGAAAAAACTCACACTTCGCACAACCAATCTGAGATGCAAAATTCAGATTACTCTGCACCATTTCCCTCACCTCTTCTTCGTTTTCTCTTCTCCCCCCCCCCCAACCCTGCCCTGAGGACCTCGGCTTCCCTTTTCTGCCCCAGCTGGAGGAAAATCTGACACTCTCCTTGTGCACCCTTGTTCTTTCTCAGGTTCAACACCGGCTCTGGGACAGGCATCATCACGAGCCGGGTCCCCGTCGAGCCCGGGAAGTGGCACCAGCTGGTGGTCAACCGCAACCGAAGGAACGGCATGCTCTCTGTGGATGGAGAGCCGCCCGTCCACGGCGAGAGCCCCAGCGGCACGGATGGGCTGAACCTGGACACCGACCTCTTTGTCGGAGGGGCTCCGGAAGATCAAATAGCCACGTGAGTCATCGTGGGGGATAGAGGGGGGGGTGAGAAGCAAGGAACCCCCTGCGACTCTCTCACCTTTTTCAGCCCCCGCTCCATCTCTGTAAACCCATTGCAGAAATCTGTCTGGTTTTTTTCCCCCATCAGGCTGCTCAAGGAAGGGTATGCAAGGTTTCCCAGCGGCATGGGTGGGGACATGAGCCACGGGGCTCACTGTCAAGTCGGACTTAAATCGCACTGGTGGCTCGACTCAGACTTGACTCGGGGATTTTTCCCCCTATTACTCAGACTTGAGTCACGACCTAAAACCCACCCACCCCTCCCTTTTTTCTGGGGGAAAAAGGTTGCTCTTCATAGGGACTCAGACTTGGGACTTGAAAGACTCAGACTTGGGACTTGGGACCAAAGACTCAGACTTGGGACTTGGGACCAAAGATTCAGACTTGAGACTTGGGACTCGGACCCAAAGACTTGCCAACATCCCTGCTATACGGTCTGTCATCCTGGCACCAGCCTTATCCAGACGGAGTGCAGCTACACTACATAGTTGCCACAGTCCGATACCAGTTTTACTGTCATGGCTCCGCCAGAAGGAATCCTGGATTCTGTAGTTCAGAAGAAGGGCTTTGGCTGCTCTGGCGGAGAGCAATTTCCGTGCTCGCTCAGAGCAGTTTCTCTCGAGAGGATGTAAAAGCAACAATATTCCATAACAATCAGGTTGGTTAGAAAAACCACATAATCAAAAAAGAACAAAATCCAAAAAAACACACAAAGAATGCCGGTAATCAATACAGCACTCGCCGCCTAACCACAAAGACATTATACGCTCAAACAAACAGCAGGGCTGTAATGATGGCGAACTTAAACCACAAGTCAGAATTTGTTTATCCAAAGCAATACAAAATAATACATATGTATATATATGTATGTATATGTATGTATATGTATATATGTATATGTATAATATAATACATATTTTCTATATGTGTGTGTGTGTGTATGTATATATGTATGTATTATATATATATTATATGTATTTTATATGTGTGTGTGTGTGTATGTATGTGTATGTGTATATGTAGTATATGTATATGTATATGTATACATATGTATATATATGGGGGGGAAATCGCTAAATGCCAACAGTCAGAACTGTGCATTGAAAGAAATGAATGCAAACCAATTACGAGTGCCGGTGTGAGCAAAGGCAATGAAGATGTTAGAATGCAGACTTAAAATTAAAGACTTTGAAGTGTGTTTTCCTTAATCTTCCCTGCCTCCTTCATTCTGACGTCATACAGTCTATAGCCAAGCAGGGGTTCTTCATTTAATTGGAAGGGAACCAAAGTCTCACCTACCAAAGCACAGGTATAGAAGCAAAGGGGATCTGTAGCGCTCTGCTCTATACTCAGCTGTATTGTTGACTATTCCTGCTTAGTTTGCTGGGGTGGCACTCGGTCTTTTGGAGTTCAGGGCCTCCACAGCCCAGTTAAGGGCCAAGACTTTGGGGAGCTGAAGTCCAAAACATCTGGTGGGCGTCCCTAACCCAGCACAACACGTACCAGACGGGCTGGATACGGCATGCGGCACCCACAGCCGGCAGGACTGATGGCCTTGCTGAATGGGAGGCCTGGAATCTCAGTCGTCTGGAAGGGGCCAGATTGGATGATCCTCCCGAGGTTCTAGACCAGGGGTTTCCCCACCCTGGGTCCCCACATGTTCTTGGACAAAAACTCTCAGAAGCCGTCACCACTGGCTTTGTAGGGAGCTGTCGTCGAAGAACATCTGGGCAGCCAAGGTTGGCAAGCCTTGGTCTAGATTTCAACTCCCAGATGGAAGACCTGGTCTGCTCTGAGCATCAGGGGTTCGTGTGGGTTTCAGACGACCGTCACCTGTGGGGCAAGCACTATAGCCAGACGGTACAGCCTCTGCTTTACTGAGAGCGTGGCGTAGTAGCCCTGGGAATGGGAAGCTCTGTAGATCAGCTGCAACTCGGATGTAGGCCATCCTGAACTTGCTGGATCGAGGAGGATCTGAGGAGATGCCTTCCCAACTTCCTACTGAGATCCCAAGGGCTACAGGCAGACCTCCCTGCTGTGTCCGTTTTCTGAATACTACCCTATGTTTGCCCCTTAGAACTTCGTACAAATGGTATTTTCTTCCCAGGCTGAAAGGGGTCCCTCGCTGTCGTTGATCCTGTCGTGCCTGTGATTCAAGGGGGCAGGGGAAAGGCCTGGCTCATTTTTTTGCCTCTTCCTTTTTTGTCTTTTCTCCTCCAGGGTAGCCGAGCGTACCTCGGTCACCACTGGCCTGAAAGGCTGCATCCGCCTCTTAGACGTGAACAACCAGATGTACGACCTGCGGGAGAAAGGCAGTGACGTCCTGTACGGCAGCGGGGTGGGCGAGTGCGGCAACAACCCTTGCCACCCCAACCCCTGCCACCACGGCGGCCTCTGCCACGTCAAGGAGGCAGAGATGTTCCACTGTGAATGCCTGAACGGTTACACAGGTGGGCTGAAGAGATCCCCAAGGGATGTGCGACTTAACTTCTTCCTGCTGGCTCCCTCGTTTCCTGTATCACAGGGATGGCCTACATTTTCTTCCCTGACATGCTAGTTTTCTAAATGCAGGGTTACGGAGTGGGAGGAGAGGCTGGCTTCCATGTTTCCCTCAAACATGCTAGCTCTCCATATGCCAGAAGGGTGAGAGGGATGATTTGAGCCTTCCTCCCTGAAAGGCTAGCCTTCTGAATGCAAGGCACAGGTGTACATTTTTAACTTGGAAAATAATGTGCGGCTTCGTGGTCCTGGATACAATTTTGGATCCCCTTGTGTTTCCTCCCCCCTCAGGGCCAACCTGCGCCGACGAGAGGAACCCCTGCGACCCCAACCCCTGCCACATTTCTGCCACCTGCTTGGTGCTGCCGGAAGGGGGTGCCAAGTGCGAATGCCCCATGGGGAGGGAAGGCGAGTTCTGCGAGTCAGGTTAGCTCCTCTTGGCTGGATGTGGGTGAACAAACCGGGGAGGAACCGAGAAGAACAATTGAGCCACAATGTGTGGGATGGGAAGACGTTCCACTATGGGAAATGCATTGTTTCATCATCTTAATGGATAAGATAATGGATACACTTCCATCTGGACGAATGGCTTAGATTCGGCATCTAAATCTTCACTCATGTTTGCAAGTGAGACTAAAAATTTCCATACATTACAAGACACAAGTGTTTCCTTGGCTGATTGTAATCTGACACCCGCCTAAATCAGGCCTATTCGTGCTCACCATTTAGACGTTGTGCTCTTTTGAGTTTTGGGAACTGTGGGCATGTGTTCTTTCGGGTTTTGGGGATTGTGGGCATGCACTCTTTTGAGTTTTCTTGGCACTGTAGGCGGCGTAGACTGTTTTGAGTTTTGGGGCCTGCCATTCCCAGAACACTGTCCAGAAAGCCGAAAGGGCACACCTTCTAATCCAGGATTGCCCTTGTTTGTTCACTCAACTTTTCTCTCTCCCTTTCCAGTCACAGAACTGGACCAGACGGTGCCCTTCCTGCCGGAGTTTAATGGTTTCTCCTACCTGGCACTGAATGGGCTGCAGACCTTTGTGCCAGACTTGCAGTAGGTTCCGTCCCTCCAGTTTTGCTTTCTCCTTTCCTTTGCCCCAGTTGCTTTTCGGGCTGGAGACCTTGTGAGGTCAGCCAGCATGACCAGAGTATGGGTGGCCTCTGACCGGGGGACTTTCGACTGCCCTGTGTGCCTTTAGAGATGTGTTTTTGCTGTTTTATCATACAGGGACAAAATGAATATGGAAGTGGTCTTCCTAGCAAAGAGCCCAAGTGGCATGATCTTCTACAATGGGCAGAAGACAGATGGCAAAGGGGACTTTGTCTCCCTGGCGCTGCACGATGGACACCTCGAATACAGATATGACCTGGGCAAAGGAGCAGCTGTCATCAAGTAAGATCAGCTCCCTTTATTGGGGGCAGTAATCCGAAACAACCCCAGGGTGAGCTTGTGTGTATGTGGAGAGAGAGAGAGAGAAATTCTGTGCATCTGACCACAAGATGCAGGTGTAGGATCCTGATATTGTCTACAATTTAGCACCCCGAGACCCTCTCTTTTCCCTTTAAGTTCAATGACAGGACTATACTATGCAAATTTATTTAGAAGCAAATCTCCCTGTATCTTTTTCTCATGCTCGTACGTCCCATGTTCTTCCTAGGAGCAAAGAGCCAGTCCCCTTGAACACCTGGGTCAGTGTCTTGCTGGAAAGAAACGCACGCAAAGGGGTGATGAGAATCAACAATGGCGAGCGGATCATGGGGGAGTCCCCGGTAAGGAAGTGTATCCCCTGAAACATGGATGCCCCCCATCTCCCCACCCTGCCCTCAGATCGTCCCAGAAACCGTTCCATGGCGGTGCTTGAGTGGTTGCGAAAAGGGTCCCCTTCCCTGGCTGAAACCTGAAAAATCCCCAGTAAGCAATAATGCCATTCTCATCGCTGTGTTGGGTCCCTGGGGCCTTCTGACTGATCCACAGTGGTTAGAGAGGTGACAGTTTCTTTCTTTGTTTTAAAACTGGGAAGGGAAGACACTCGAGAGAAGGGAGATTTGAAAAAGGAAGGACAAGAAGACAGGCCCGCAAAGGGAACAGAGGAGTGCCTGTGGCTTGTGTCTGATCTTCTTCATAACTCTCCTTTTTTCTCCTCTTCTGAGCTTAAAAGCTTCTTTTGCAAAGGAGCCGTCTCCTGCTTATAAGGACTGGATCCCCGTCGTCCTCCCCAACCACCATGCCGCTGCTCCGTTCTGTGCCTTTTCTCTCTTGATGGCCCGCTCACGAGAGGACAGGGAGCAGCTGAGCCTTGCAGCTTTCTGTGTGATGATGTTGTCTCACTGATCTTTTGTCTCTCTCTTTTTTCTCTCTCTCTCTTTGGGTTTTCCTTTGGTTTTCTTCCTTCCACCCCCTTCCTCCTCCTTCCTGCTGTTTGGATTTCAGAAATCCCGTAAGGTAAAGATAAGTATAACGCTGCTCTTTGTTTCATGTCCATCTCTCCCCTGACCCTGGCACGTTCCCTCGGTCTCTCCACTCCTCCTTCCACACAACACTAGCTTCGTTATCCTGCAGCCCATTTGCTTTCTCCATCTGATGTAATAACCACCTATTGATTTTCCTTTTGGTAGGGCACATGCTTCTTCCTTCTTTTATCTTTTCTTTTCTTTTCCTTTTCCTTTAAGGGCTCATTAAGTCCAAACATTATTTTCCCTCTCTGTCTTTTCTCCATTTGCACAACGTTCCGCCGTTTTCCATTTTTATTGTCATTGAGCACTAGCTAGTCTTTCTCTCTCTCTCTTTTTTAACACCATAAAAGTTGGCTTTGAATCTGTGACTCAAGGCAATGCCTGGGGGTAGGTGGTAGGCAAGGATTTTTGGGGAATGCGTTTCCCTCTACGCCCCCCCCATGCTGGCCCCCATGGCTTCTGCCACCCTTGCGTTCAGCTCACAAGTAGATTTAGAGTAGTTTACCGAAGGGATTCTTGGCAGGGCTGGGCCCAGGTGGGCGAAACAGAAGAGCAGAGGGAATAGGAGGAGGGGGTCTGGCAAGAGAGAAGCAAGGGGTGTCCAGATGCTACCAAAATACTGCAACGGCCGCCATTCCTCACTGCCAGCTAGAGCTGGTGGCACATAAATCGCTCGTGATCAGGACATGGGGGCACCCACTTCCAAATTGCGGGGTGGGGCCACACTTGCTCGCTCCACGAACCACCCCTGGGATGGGAGTTGCTATCCAGGAACCTCTGGAGGACCGCGAGTTGACCAGCCTGGTGGAGGTCTGGCCTAGTTTTATTAACCGTCACCCCCCCATGACTTTCTAGTCTGGATCTTCTAATTGCTCACTGTGTTTTTCTCTTCTCCCCCCACCCCCCGTGCACACCCCGGCTCATCCAGCTGCCGCACACGTCCCTCAACCTGAAGGAGCCTCTCTATGTCGGTGGAGCGCCCGACTTCAGCAAACTGGCTCGTGCTGCGGCCGTGTCCAGCAGCTTTGATGGGGCCATCCAGAAGGTAAGGCAGAACCTCCTCCCTCTGTTGGTTGCGAAGCCGGACAGTATTTCTGTTCTGAGACCCACTGCTTCTGTCTCAGTTTCTTTCTTTTGTCTACATGAGATTCTGTTGCATGTTGATGAGTTTCGGTTTCACAGGGGGAGCCCCCAGAATGCCTGAAGGATACCTGTTATGGAGATGCAATGGAAAACATACATAGGCTCAGGGAAATATACTATCCTAATGTGGTGGGCATGTGAAGAGAGACAGAAGGGATGGATGGTTCTCTTTAATGAGATTAAAAAAATTCTAGGGTCACATATTACAAAAATGTCCAATGGTAGCATTGTTAAATGCATTTGGAAACAATCAATGAGATAGGGGGGAAATGGAACTAATTGTCATCATGTTAACAGCAGCTGGACTGATATTTGCAAGGTATTGGAAACAAAATAATTATCAATTGATGTTGGAAGAATGGTATAATAAGATGTGGAATCTAGCTATTAACGATAAATTAACTTGTGAAAAGTTAGGAAAGGATGATTGAAAGAAAATAGGGATCTGGAACCTTTAAATAGAATTACGTATTTACAAAACCTGAAGGTCGTACCCCAACACAAGAATCATTATATTTTTGGAAAAAGATGAGGTACATGATATAAATTAAGATGAAGCATCAATGAGAATATATATATTCATTACAGCAAGTATGAGGCACCCCTTTCATCTCAAGGGCCAACTTCAGAATCAGAGGAATTCTTGGGGGGGGGACACAGGGTCGTGGTGGGCGGGTCCCAAACCTCCAACATGAGGGAGCTTGAAGCTTTTCCTGTGACTAGCTCAGCCTCCAGCTTCTTAGAACAGCCGAAAACTCATCAAAGCCTAAAAAAAACAGAACAGGAGCTCCGAAAGGAAGGTTCGGCCTCAGCCTCTCATTTCCCCCAGCCTTGATTTAAAATAAACCCTGGTGAGAGCTCTCTTGTGAGTCTCTACTTGAAGAAGCGTCCGTCTCTCTCTTTTTTTTGCCCTCCTCTGATGCCTTCCCAAGGAAGAAGAAGGGATGTGGAAGTAGGTCCCGAGAAAGGTGTCAAAACCTATCAGAGGTATAGAAAGCCCAGGTCTTATGATGAAGCAACGAAGGATCCCTGGTTTGGAGAATAATGGGGGGGGACCTCTCTCAAAGGGCCAGAGCGCTCTATCGGCAAGAAAGAGCAAAGAACGGGTGCCGTAGTGACCGGAGGCATCTCCAGAGCTCATAATGAGCCATCTTTGACCAACCTCAGACCTGTTTTAAAGCAGGGGTTTCCATCTGCTTGGAAACCATGGCCATCTCTATAGGGCCATCTTGGCCTCTCCTTACCCTTCTAGTAAATGTGGAAGAATAATGGATTTCTCATATTGCAGGGAAGTTTTCCCAGTCCTTGAGAATAATAGTGATAATGAAATGTCTCGTAAATGCTGGCTTCTTTCCCTTTTCTTCCCAACTGCTCAGATTTCCATCAAAGGCATCCAGGTGCTGAGGGAAGAGAACATCCGAAGCGCCCTGGAGATCTCCACCTTCCGCTCCCACCCGTGCACTCAGAAACCCAGCCCCTGCCAGAACGGGGGGATGTGCCACCCCCGCATGGAGGGCTACGAGTGCACCTGCCAGAGAGGCTTCTTTGGGGCCCACTGTGAGAAAGGTGAGGCGGTGGCCCTCGAGAGCAGAGCTTCCCAACCCTGGGGTCCCCAGAGGTTCTTGGACTAAAACTTCCCCACTCGCTGGGCTGGCCAGGATCTCTGGGAGTTGGAGTCTTAAGAACGTCTGGGCACCCAAGGTTGGGAGTCATTGCTCTCGAGGATGGGGGAGGGATCTGGCTTCAAAGACAAGGGGTTGCACTATCCCACGCGCTGTTACCTGTGACCCATATGGAGAGCCACGGAGCAGAACGTGGCTGCTTCAGCTATTCGCTTTTTTCCTTCTAGTCCTCATTGAGAAGGCTGCTGGGGACTCTGAAGCCATTGCCTTCAACGGCAGGACATACATTGAATACCACAATGCTGTAACCAAGAGGTAAGGCATCTTAATTTAGGCTAGGGAATCTGGAGGCCAGGTTTGGGGTGTAGAAGCTCCCGTTCATTAGGCGAATCTCTGGCTCTCTCCCAATGATGTCTAAGCTCCTGCTGTTGCCATTTCACAACCTTTAAGGCGAGTGGGGTGCCTAATTTCAGGCACAGCTCTTTGTGATGGGGAGCATGCTAGGGAGGAAAGTGTTGCTCTATGCCATAAGTTGCAGCATGGCTGATGTTCTAGAGCCATGTGGAACATCCTTCAAACCAATGGGTTACCTTTGAGAAGCTCCAGATTCCAGTATTCAGTTTTTTGATTGGAGAAGTCGGGGGGGGGGGAGGCTAAGGTGGGCTGAAGCAGAAGGCCGAGTTAATGAGTTCCTCAGCCCTTCTGGCCCCAACATCCTCTGGTTCCTTAAAGCCAGAGGTCGCAGCCTTTCAATCCCAGTGAGTTGAAGTGTCAGGGAAGAATTCTAGAAGCCATACGGGAGACAGGAGCTATGCACTCCTAGCCGCCTTCACTGGTGCCACGGTGCCTTGCAGTGGTCCAAACTGGAGAATCCAGTCCCTTTGGTATTCACGTACAAAATGACTTCCCAGTGCCCATAACATCCCCAGTTTTGCATTTTCCAACAAAAGGCCAGTGGAATGCTTCTGGGAAGCTCATCTGGAGGGTGGGCGGAGGGTGGCCTTTCCTCCCTTCTTGTATCCAGCATCTACTGTTGACACATGCAGTACCTTTCCATGCAGATGTTACGTTCGGCTATTGGCAGAGGGAATATAAAGCATCTAGCATGCAACGCTCCTTCTGTGGGAACCTTGGGAAGTTCTTCCTTTTTTTTTTCCAATGGTGTCTCCACAGAATCCCTAGCCAACACAACCAGTGGCCACGCTGACTGGGGGATTCTGGGAACTGTAATCCCCCCCCCCAAAAAAATAAAAATGAAAGGCTTCTAACTTTTGTTCCCTCCTCACCCTGGACATTGTGTCTGCCCACCAACCATTGTATGCATTTCCTTGTCTCGTGGTTCTTGTTTTTCTGTGTCTTGAGTCTTGGCTTCTTTGCCACGTCTGTCCAGGGCTGGGGTTTCTTGTGGTTGTTCTCTATTTGGGGATTTCAGAGAGGTTCTGTGTTTTGGTTGATCAGCCTCTTTCCCCCCCCTCCGCTTTCCAGGGCCCCTCCCCTCCGAGGAACGTTGTGTGTTTCTAAACTCTCTGGTGTTGTCTGTCGGTCTCTTTACTTCTCTCTCCTGTCTTTGTCTCTGTTCCTTTGCTTTCAAGCCAACTGACCAATGAGATTCCAGCGTAAGTAGATCTCCTTTCTCACCCACACCCCGTTTTGTCATCACCTCCTCACGCCAACCATCCTGCCACTAGCCGGCACGCCACGTCTCTCCGTGTCCCCCACTGTGGTTCACTTGGGACTCACTTAGGAGTAAGGGGAGAAAGTGAGGGAAGGAACCAGAAGCCCTGGAGGGGACAATCGCACCTTCACTTCACACTTTTTTGTGCACTTGGTTGGGCTTTCTACACAGATGGAAACCAGGTTCTCGTTCTTCTTCCTGAGTTCTGTACTTAGCCAAACCTTGGTGGCTTTAGATCCAGACAGAGCCCACATGGGGTGGCATCTGGGTTTGCACTGACAGATCTTTGCTGGCAAAAGGATCCTCTGGCAAAGTTAAAATGGCACCCCATTGGTAAAGGTCCATATATTGTTGTAGGAAAGATTCCCATGAGGACTAGTGAGTTGAATGAAGACTAAAGTTTTTGAAGCCTCTGACTTGATACATTTATATGCATGTGTTTGGGGCCTTTCTAGAGATCCCACAGTGGCTTTTCTACCTCTCTCTGTCTCTCTTTTCTCTCTCTGTCTTAATTTTGACAAAGCTGGTCCGGTGAAACACAAACAGTTTCACTTCTGTTGTTACAATCTGTGCAGATACTCCAAATCTTGCATCCTATGTAAATTACCGAAACGTTATGTGTCCACCTGTTTGGATATACAGACACACAGAAACCGAATTGTTGACAGTCAGGCCTAAAAGAGTGGGGGTGTTTTCTCTCCGTTTGTGTCAAAAGTTCTGAAATACACCAAGAAGGCAAGAGGGAAATTTTCCAGTCTGTTGACCATCCACTGGGTGTTGAAGGTGGGGGGGTGGGGCTGTTTGCAAAATATATATATATTTGAAGAAAATATGGAGGTGGGGGGGAAAAAAAGAAGTTAGTCTCCAGACCATCACACTGAGCTGGATTGCTCGAGAGTCATGACCCAGCTTTTGAAGGGGTTAAGACTGTCCATACAGTCTTTACTATTAAAAGCTATAGCTCCAGACTTCGAATCCCCGGCTGAAAACCAGGGAAAAGATATAACAGATCTCTGCTATGTCGCTGGAATTGAAATGGGTTACAGCGGCCAGGTCCCCTTATATTCTGATAAAAGGAGAATGGATGCCCGCCTAAGGGGAGGCACCCCAGGCTGTTTCACCTCTGCTATGTTGTTGGAATTGAAATGGGTTACAGTGGCCAGGTCCCCTTGTATTCTGATAAAAAGAGAATGGATGCCCACCTAAGGGGAGGGACCCCAGGCTGTTTCAGAGAGCGTTCGCATGGGTTTCCCTCCCCCTCCCCCGAAACCATCACCCTCATTCTACATGGGCAGAGAGGTTCAGGCACGTATCTTTCCTGGAAACCCTGGATTGCGTTTAGGACAATGCATGCTTGCATCCTGGAGACACTGTTGTAGAGGCAATCCCTTCTCTGGGGATGAAACAGGGCCCCTGCTTAACGAGGGGGCTTTTTTTCTGGCTTTCTCACTTGCGCCTACCCTTGGTTTAACCCTCTTGCCCTACGCATGCCCTTGGCTAAGCCAAGGCTAATTCTAGAGGTTGCTCTGAGCAGACACGGAGGCACACATACTATGGGATGGAATGAAGGCGCATCAGGGGCCGTCATCGGCACAAGGGCAAAAGGGCCTTAATCCTTCGTACCCCCAAAGTGCTGGATCTTGTAATCAATCTGGGAGAGGAGAGCTGTTATTACTTGGAAGTGGAATGGAGGTAAATGGAGAGTCCCCTCAATATCGAGAGGCTTCGCTGTTCCCTCTCACTTCTTTCTCTGACGATTGGCCCTTGGGAACCAGTTTAAGAGTGGGCAGAAACCCCATAGCTCTCTCGAGTGGGATTGAATTTCTCATTCAGGAGATCCCAGGTTTTGTACCTGGTGAGAAAGCTGCTGGGATCACTCCCATTTCACAGGGACTAGCCACTCCCCCCCCCCTTGTGCCTTCTTCTGGTTCACCGTTTGCCACAAGCGCTTACTGCATGCCTCCCCTTTCTTCCTGCTTCTAAGTCCTGATGCTCTGGACTACCCGATGGATATCAGGTGAGTCTCAACACGTGTGCCTCTCCGGTCCAGATGTTGCTGCAGCTGCTGACATCCTCTTTGTCTTCTTTGCATTCTGCTTTGCTCTTGTGCATGACCGCTTCGCCATCCCAACCTTATCTTTCCACAACCCAGGGCCCAGAAAATGACAAAATAACATGTGGTCCAACCCGTTGTGGTTGGTTTTGGGGTGTGGGGGTGGGAGGGAAATGGGGGGGTCTGCCAGTGTTGATTTTCTCTCCTCTTATCTGCTGCTTTGTCAAGTCCCACATCCTCCCGATCACTGTTTAAGATGAGGCTGAAAAGAAGATCCAGTCAGTGGGATTCGCCCCTTGAAACACAGAGGAAGGTTTTTGTTTCTGATTTTTGAGAAACAAAGCTGGCAGAAAAGAACTTTTCCAAACCCTTACTTGGAGATCTTATGGCCCATGGCTAGTCTGAACTCTACAGGAGAGCCATTGAATGACACTGAATTCTTCTCCTCTTGTCCCTCCTCCTCGTTCATTTAATGTGGACTCCACCAACAGCCACGGGCCGTTCTGTTTCTAGCTCGTGTCTGTTGGGGAATGGAAGCTTTTCTGTTCTGTTGTCATGGTTCTGTGTGTTGTCCTCTCATGTGGTACTTGTGTGGTACCTGTGTGTCTTTGTGTCAGTGAAAATCTGAAAAACCTTTCCCCTGGCGCATAACCCTTCTGTGGGCTTGTGGGCAGCTACCTTTTTCCTCTCATTGGAATTGTGAGGGCTTGATACATAGGCAAGGCTGGGCCTGAGCTTGAATCAAATGGGATTCCATAATCTTAGAATCTTAGAATGGCAGAGCTGGAAGGGAGCCTCTGGATCATGCTCCTGTCAAGTTGGCGGGGGGGGGGATTCGAACTCCCATCTTCTGGCTCTGCAGCCAGAGCTACCTAGTGGTTCTTGTTGGCTGATATGCCACATTAGAAGCTGGTACACCTCTAATCTTTCGAGGGTCCTATAGAGGAAGAAAATGGGTTGAGGCAAGACATCTTTAATCCCCTTATCATCCAGAGTCCATGGGAGAAATGGGGCATCCCTTTTGAGCATTTTTCAGAAGGTGATTTTCACCTCCTTCTGCAGGTGAGGGGGTGTCTCCTGTAACTCTCCCGCCTCGGATAATATAGATGGGGTGCCCCTTGTTCCCATCAAGGCACAGAGGTTTGTCCCTTCATTGTGGCTCCAGAGGGAACTGGGCTCCAAGGCTAGCGGTTCGTCCGCCAAGGGTGTAGCTCAGCCCCATTGTGCGGGCACGGAAAGGGGAAGCTTCCCCGGTCTCCAGAACTGACGCTCTCCACTTTTCCTCTGGGTGCAGTGAGAAGGCCCTGCAGTCGAATCACTTTGAGCTGAGCATCAAGACGGAAGCCACGCAAGGCCTCATCCTGTGGAGCGGAAAGGCTCTGGACCGCTCGGACTACATCGCCCTGGCGATCGTGGACGGACGGGTGCAGATGACTTACGATCTCGGCTCCAAGCCGGTGGTCCTACGCTCCACGGTCCCCGTCAACACGAACCAGTGGATCCAGATCAAAGCTTTTAGGTGGGCTTCTGTGCGTCTTGCTTTGTGTTCAAACATAAATTTGTGTGTGTGTGTGTGTGTATGCAGTGAGCAATGTTTTCTAACTCCTTTTTAGTGATGGAGGACCTGGTCCTCATGCAAAGAGTGGCAGGTTCAAGTCCTGGCATCTCTGACTAAAGGGGTTGGGAAATCCCCTCTCTGAAAGGCCACCAGTTGAAACAGGCAGTATGGAGATGGGATGATAAGTCAGCTCCCCGTGTTGCAGGAGAGGGAATTTGACTGGAGGTCCTTTCTCATGGCAAACCACACCAGTCGGTTGCAAAACAGCATTCACTGAAACTTGCTTGTCATCGTGGGAGTCGGAAAAGTACTGTGGTAAATTACATCCCTGTGCCTCTTGTCTGTCACACCCCAGATCAGTCTCAAGTTCCCAGTCCTTAAGTTTACAGTTCTCCAAGTCAATAGCCTGGAGTAGGAGTTGATCCATAGTATGAGAAATGGGGACGTAGTGGGTGATGTCTTTGGCAAGGTGTGTATGCACAGTGCTCATGTTCTTTGCCCCAAAATCCCCTTCATGTAGAAAGACAGCACATCAAGCCCAAACCTTTCTCCCTGACATGCTAGCGTTCTGCTAGCAGAGAGTTCTGCTACCTGAGACACTGAACATGCCAAAGTAGAACTAATCCGGGAGAGTTGCACTGTGCTTACTGGTCAGTGTTCAGGTTTGTCCTCTGAACACCTCTCTCGGTCTGCTTGTTTTGTTATACGAATCCAGGAACCTTCCTTACGCACCATGGGTTCATCTAGCTGACTGGTTAGCTGTCCTGGGAGGAATAACTTGCAAGGGGAAATCCCACCTCTCAGCCTTCCTGCTCGAAATCTTTTAGCTGGAGATCTTGAAGGTTGAACATGGAGTCTTTTATATGCAAACTAGGGCGCGCAGCTCATCCTTACCCCACGTTAGTGTCTTCCTGTCAAACTGGCAAACCCGCCCTTAAGCGAGCTGAGGTCATCCTGCCTCAGGCAGCGATTCTGGGTGTCATAACAGGGCCATCCGCCGCCCGGCGATTTCATTTCCTCCTCTTGGTGTATTTTCTTTCCCTCCAGTGAGGGAGAAAAAAAACGTTTGCAGGTATCTTATGCTTAGCTGTCAAAATCAGACTGCTGGTTGTACTTACTATGCCTCAGGCAGCACTGAGTCTTGGGACAGCCTGTACCTTAGCCCTGACTCCAGGCGAAACACACCCTTTTATTTATTTGTTTGTTTGTTTATTCCCTTTGTTGGCTGAGCCCCTTCCTCCTCCACAAAATGAACTGAAGCAAGCAAAGTGTACTCGCTTTTCACAGCTCAAGTTGATCTCTGCCTTGCAGCACTTGGCTGACCACCAAGAAAGAAAGTATGGAGAGGGGGGAGAGAGAGAGAGAGAAAGAAAAAGCCCCATGAATGAGTCATGGCAGCCGGGCTGCAATCATCCGTGTTTCATGCCTAGACTTGTCCACTCCAGGCATGAACAAGGAAGTCACGAGGTGGAGGAACAGACCAAAGTTCCCTTTTCCCTACCGTAACACCACCGGTGACTCTGTCGGCCAGACCTGCTCCCCCCCCTCTCTCTCTGTGGATTTTTATTAAGGCCATGGGAGATCTTCCTTAAGACAGAGTAGCAGGCGGGCTCCCAGAGGTTTTGCTGCCTGAGGAGGACTCGTGCCGTGTGCACCCCCCTCCCCCCATCTTGGTCCAGGTGCTGAAAAACAGAGAGGAGTTCTTCTGCTCTACTTTGTTATATAGCTCTCCCTACAAGACTTGCTGATCGGCAGGGTAATTTTAGAAGGGGGGGGGTCCCCTCTGGGGGCGGCCGGGAAGAAAGAGGTGGTCATGCCAGTCTACCTTCTCCCCCACCCAGTTTGCTACTGGTCGTTTTCAAAAGAGCTTTGTATTAAAAAATAGGAAGCAAAACATATATGTATGTATGTTTGCCTTATTTTTACCCAAGCACCATTTGTGTTGATCCATATAAAGGTAGACATAAGCCCAAACATGAGAGAGAAGAAACAGTAACAATGCATCCTGCGGGACATTAAAGACTAACACATTTTACTGGGCAGTGAGCCTTCTGCAATTGTGGTCTACTTCAAATCTGTGGGATATAGGTTTTTATTTTATTACATTTCTCCCAAGGCCACCGATGGATTATTTTCTTTTAAAAAAACAGTTTAAAACACGATAAACTGTTGCATTAAAAAAACCCCAATTAAATATAGTGTGTAGAAATGTATACACCTTTAGGGAAGAAGGTAAATGTGAAATGAGCTAAGTACCAAGAGGGTGGATTAGACAGAGAGAAAATGAGATTTTAATAATTAAAACAATGAGATATGTTATACAAATCCTCATTTTGCAGAAGTTATGATGTTTCCAACTTCTCTATCTAATTGGGGAGCATTTTTATTTTTATTTAAAACAAACAAACAAAAGCCCTGTGTGGTCTTGCCAGAAAGGCAATAGGACTAAGTGGTACACAGCGCCACTTGCCAAGCTTATGGGAAATGAGTGACCTGTTATAAGGTGGCAGAACCTGTTTTCTGGGCACACACACACACACACACACCCCGCAGATGCCCTTCCCTTCAGCAGGACTTGTCTGGACTCTTTGGTTGAATGTGTGCCTGTGTCCCTTTTCTGGCAGAGTGCATCGGGAAGGCTCCCTGCAGGTCGGCAACGAAGCCCCCATCACGGGCTCCTCCCCTCTGGGAGCAACGCAGCTGGACACAGACGGAGCCCTTTGGCTGGGTGAGTCGCCACTGGCCCGTCAGCATTCTCCCTGGCCTTCCAAGAGCCTCCCCAGATTCCTGAGATTACAGTTCCCGTTGGAATAATGGGAACAGCAGGTCAGCCTATCCAAGGTGGAACTAACTGCACCTTTGGTGCTTAAGAGTTGGAGCCTCTGACCCATCTGTGATATTCTCAGTGACGTCAGAGGGCCACGTTTGTTTGGTTGATCTAGGACAAAGAGGAGACTCTTACGGGATGATCTTAGAATATTAATAATCTTAGAATGGCAAAGCTGGAAGGTTCCCCGAGGATCATCCAGTCCAGCCCCTGTCAAGGAGGCCCAGTGGGGAATCAAACTCCTAACCTCTGGCTCTGCAGCCAGATATCTAAACCACTGAGCTCTCCAGCAGTTCATATCTACTTTGTTCATTTTTACTAAGACCTTCAGCCCGACATCCTAGGGTCAGATATCAGGGCTAGCGGTGGTCAAACCATTAGCTAGTGGGTGCTGTGAGAGAGAACCCATCGATTATGCACCCCTGCAACCCCATAAACTGACTTTGGGCCCATGGGTTGAAAGAAGGTGAGGATGTGCTCCTGTTTTTAGTAGCCACCAGGCAGGAGAGGTTTCTCTCTGATCTGTCCCCATCTTCTCTTTCGTAGGAGGACTAGAGAAGCTCGGCGTGTCCCACAAGCTCCCCAAAGCCTACAGCACCGGCTACGTCGGCTGCATAAGAGATGTCATCGTTGACCGCCAAGAACTGCATTTGGTGGAGGACGCTCTGAACAACCCCACCGTATTACAGTGCTCAGCCAAATAAAGCGGGCGCCGCTCTGCCCCCCTCCCTCCCTCCGCCTCTCCCCCCTCCCTTCCCTCTCTCTTCCCTCCGCCTCCCTGGCTATTGCTGTAATTATTTTCTATTTTTGTAAACTTATTGCTTTTTATATTTTTGTGGGGAGGGGATGGGAGGGGGGAAAAGCAGGGAGGAAGCAAAGGAGGTAGAAGAGAGAACTTTTGGGGAAAGGGGTGTTTATTTTTGGTTACGCGTTCGGTTGCACCGTTATCTCATCCAAGCCAGTTGGACTCTCTGAGCGACAGCCAAGCCTCCATTTTTTATTTTTTATTTTTAATTAAACAAACAAACAAAAAAACACCACCACCACCGACGAAAACAAAACTCCCAAGACGTGACCAAGAAACAAACTCTTTCCTTTCGGCCCGCATCCTGCTTTCTGAAGGTCGTCTTCTGCTGCAAGTGTCATTCATACTTGAAAACCTGTTTCCAAAAATCTGTTCGCACCCCGGAAGAGAAAATGAAACGTTCACCCACCGTGAACTGTAGCCCAGAAAAGGACGGGGGTCAAATTTTCAAAGCTGTCTGCAATCCTGGCGACGCACGAAGCATCCAGGGCCCCTTAAAGACCCCTGGGGGGGGCACGGAAGGAGAGGCGTGACGGAGCAAACATGGAACGGATTGGGGCCCTGAGGCCAAAAGAGACACCAGCTGATGGGGTCCTATGAAGCTGGACCCCCCCCCAAAAAAAATAACAGCCCAAGACCCACTGCCAGCAACGGCAACAGCTGGGTTTCACCTCACCCTTAAGTCTTCCTTAGGCTTGCTATTATCCTCTTGTATGTATTCACCATTAGGATGACAAAACACTGAACATGGTGCATTTCCCCCCCCCTTTTCCTCTTTTATCATATTTTCAGTGCACATGCAAGAACTGGGGTTCCGACTCTCTCGGGGAGCGATGGTTAGAGCCAGCTGTTTATCCAGAAGGATGTAGGATGTAAAAGGTGTGATCTTGGCGGGGAGGGGGTACGTAGGCAGAAAGAGAGGGGAGAGGAGAGGAGCGATGGCTGTTTTTCAGGAGCATCAAGTCTTCAGTCAGTCGGAAGGTGACTTCAATAAATCCCCCGTCTATTCCGCATGGATCCCTCGACTGAGCAGTAATGTCCTTGAAGGGCACCTTTTGGTTCCTATGCCACGAGATCAGTTAAGTTTAGTACAGTTGCTCTTTCCTTTTGCATAAGTAAAGATGTTGGAGTCCTCCTCCTGTGGGCAGGCAGAGCGGTCCTTTCAGTTATATCAAAATGCCCCTTGTTATGGGTGCCGAAGGAGGTGACCGGTTCTCTTGGATGCTGCTCTAGTGGGTGCATCTTCAAAGAAGGGGGGGTTCCTTCTAGCCATCATCCTGGCCCATATTTCTGTGATGTCTTGACCTCCTCCACTGGCAACAGGGCTGTGATTTCTTGACACTGCTCCCTGGCCCTGTCAGTGATGGTGGAGAGGCAGAGGCGGAGCGAGGCGGTTTCCAGAGTGTGCATGTGCAAGGCCAAAGGAGGAGGGCCGTGACTGCCGTGGCTTCTTCCGGGGTCCTTCCAGAAAGTTCCAAGTTTAGTCACCCCAGAAACAGCCCAAGGCTTTGGTGGGGTGGGGGGTGGGGTTCAGAGTGGCTCCCTCCTCCCTTTGGTGGCAAATGATGTAATAAAAAGAAAATCCTAAATGCCTGTTATTTTGCTGGATTTAATGGTGCTGCTCAATCTCTCTGGGGGAAGCTGGCCATCCCAACCCTCTCCCAGCTAGTCGTCTCCGTAAATCCCCACGGCCCAGGCAGAGCAACACAAGAGAGCTTTCTGAAGTGTAGCTCCCCTGTTTGGGTTGAACGGGAGGAAAATCACACACACACACACACACACACACACTCTGCCCCCGTCCTCCATCACTTCCATCCTTGGACATGCACACGAGCAGCTGTGAAACCTATTTCCACATGTTATTTTTATCTGGACTTGCCTCTGCGTGGCACAGGCTCGCTACTCTTTGTTGTTTACAGCAACCTCCCGACAGGAATAGGTTGGAGGCCGGTGACTTATCGGGAGGAAAAATGATCCTTGGAGATGCTGTGTGTGTATATACATGTGTGTGTTGTGTACCCTCTGCCTGCCCCATAAGAACTGTTCCTGCGTGCCTCTTTGGCAGTGAATGATGCCCCTTAAATAGAATATGGATCCCTTTCCGTCGCCTTTCCCCACTTGGGTTGCGGTGTTTGTGAAGTCCGACTTTGTGAAGAATAGATTCTGGAATTGCCAGGTTTAAGGGGAACGGAAAGCTTGGGGATTCTGGAGGTTATTGTCCAAAAACAGTTTTTCCTAAGCCAGGTGTATTTCAGACCGACAGTCCATGTCATTGTGGGCCATTCATTCCACATATGCCAGGAACTGAAATCCGGTGGCTTAAAGGGCCACTACTGACATGTCCTGTGGGTCCCTTTTTTAAAAAATATACATTTTCCAGTACCCACTTTGAGCTAGCCAGCTGGGAGCAGAGGTGGCCGTTTCCATTTTTATCACCCACAATGCCCCTAAGGTGGTGCCCCTCTGAAGCACGGTGGGAAATCCAACAGAGCAGCAGCTTCTGAGCGCAAAGGATGCCTCTGCGTCTGGGCATGTCCACTACCTCTCCCTCTGTATCGCTCCAGGCGTACCAACATAGGGGATCTGCTTGGAGACACTCTTCACCCAAAGCAGCCCCACAGATCTCAAGCGGCTGCTATTTTACTCTTCGTTTGTCTAAATCTGAAGGTGGTGGAGTGACCAACCAAATGTAGAAAACCATTAAGTTCCAGTTTGGGGCCATAATGGGATTGCTGGAATTACGTTCTCCTATAAAGGCAGTATCAAATCTGGCCTATGTGTTTATGCCAACCTCTCTGGTCATACATGTTTGTATTCTATCGATAGATTATTTTCATGAAGGGGCAACAACTGTAATGCTGTTGTGAGCGAAGAGGATGTAGGGAGGAGCCCTTGTGTTTGTATTCTTCGTCACCAGGGGAACCCTTCCTTCACCCCCAAACCATCTTGCACCGAATGGTTTCCACACTGCTGGTCTAAACTGGCGTTCCACTTCTAAACCTGCCCCCCCCCTTTGAAAGAAAGTTCTTTGGGAGCAAAAATCTGACCTTTGCTCCCTCTCGGCCAAGGGCTTTCTGAAACATTCCCATCCTCTTCATGTTCTCGGCTGAAATCGGGGCTCATCCAGGTAGCGGTGCCTTTGCAGAATCCAAAAGCGATCCCAGTAGCCACCGGCTACAAACTTGGCCAGGGGAATGACCACGGAAAGGGATCAGATCAGGGCAAGAGAGCAGAGTGTGCTTTATATGGCTGTCCATAGGATTGCACCCACAGCTATCGGTGAGGACTGAGGTTTGACCCCTGCTTTCTGAATTACCTAGCCTATGGTTGTGCCACCTCAGGCATAATGGGAGGTGTAATTCAAAAGGGGGAAGAAATTGTTTTGTTTTTTCTGTCTGGGGAAGGGGGGGCTGTGGCTGACTCAGAACTGTCTTGAGAATCCATAATTGAACAAGTCCCACTGGCAAACTAGCATGAAATTGTCATTAAAATTATGTAAGGCATTTATTCATAACTATTTCAGCCCACCAGAGTTCCTAAAGTGATAGAAGCCAATTCAAATGCCAGTTTTGCACACCAAAGGCCAGACCGAGATTAGCCCTTGTGTGAAACAGCGATCCAGTGAGTTACTCAGTCCTCGTTGCCTTTTCACAGAACTGAGGGTCTGAGTAATGAAGGGCTGTTCCCAAAAGGAGCGCCTGTCAATGAGGGCGGTGGGACTGAGGGGAGAGGTCTTCCCTTTTCAAGTCTGGGGAGGCTCAAAGGGGAACACGCCCCCCCCAGGGGATTCAGCCCAAGCTTTCCAAGTGAATAAGCTCTTTGTTTTCTGCTGTTCCAGAGTGTAGGACCCGACCTGAACGTCAGGAAAGGCCATTGTGACTAAACCTTAGCAAGAGTGTCCTGATGATCAGAGCTGTTCGACAGTGGATGAGACCGCCTTGCAGGGATGGTAGGCTCTCCTTTGGTGGAAGTTTTTAGATAAGAGATTTGGTGACCTTATCAAGGAATGCTGAAGCTGTGGGTTTTCTACAGAGTGTTAGGCTAGGTGACCTTTGGTGCCCCTTCCTACATTACAAACCCCATGCTTCTGGGCCCCAGTGACTTGCCTGCTCAGCGCTATGCTTCACAACCCATAAAACTGGGTTGTTCCTCAAAGAATCACAATGAAGATTTGGACATATTCATTTTTAGAGCAATATAGAAATACAAAGGGCTTCCCTCCGTGATCCACCTGGCTTTAACTTGGATTCATTTTGGGTTGGCTTGTTTATAATCACAATTCTGAACCTCTGTCAAGGTGGTGAAGGCTGTTTCAGACCAAGGAGGAGGCGTGGTTCAGTTATCAACCTGGCTTCCGTCCCTCCATGAAAGAGAACAAGACCTTTGGAAAGCCTTCAGTCTATTTAAAAGAGACATGGCCTATTTCCTCCTTCCCTGCCCCTTTCCAGACTTCCGTCCTCTGAAATTCCAGCCAGCTCTGGCTAACAGTGGGAGATTCTGGACCCATAGGGGACCCACAGGTTGGAAACCAAGGCTTTAAGTTAAGTCCCACTTGCGTAGTATTCTCATAGGTTGGGAAAGTTACTTTGGGGTGACTACACTTGCCAAATTCCCCAGCCACCATGGCTGCAAATTTCCCAAGCATCATTAAAAGAGTTATCCTAACTTCTATTGGATAAATCAGAGGTTTAGGTCTCTTGCTGCAAAGCCAGAAGTTGGGAGTTCGATTCCCTACTGTGCCTTCTTGACAAGGGATGGACTTGATCCCTAGGATCCCTTCCAGCTCTGCAGTTCTAAGATGATGATGATGATGATGATAATGATGATTACTGTTACTGTAAACTCAGCATGCAGTGGTGGTCAGATCTTTGCTAGGATGAGTGTGGGGTCTTGTTTTGATGATCCTGCTCAGTGAACCAGACAGGCAGAGCTCTGACTCTTGCCATTGCGGGGGATGGACTTGATCCCTATGATCCCTTCCAGCTCTGCAGTTCTAAGATGATGATGATGATGATGATAATGATGATTACTGTTACTGTAAACTCAGCATGCAGTGGTGGTCAGATCTTTGCTAGGATGAGTGTGGGGTCTTGTTTTGATGATCCTGCTCAGTGAACCAGACAGGCAGAGCTCTGACTCTTGCCATTGCGGCCCAGAGCTGGCCCTTCCGGCCCAACAGGGGCTTGAGAAGATCCAGTAAAATCCTAAGATCTGCACATAGGAGAGGAGGAGGAAGCGCACGGCTTGGCACGGCCAGTCTGTTTTGGCGTGTGCGCTTGGCCTCCGAAGGCAGCCACAGCTTCCCAGACAATGACCTTGTTGTCCCGCCGCCTTGTAACATCCTTGCCGCTTTTATGTGGGTGTGACGTGAAGCCGAGTTGGGGGGAGGCGGTGGCTGGTGTCTGCTGGCAGGGGATGAAAACAGCTGGCTTGCACCAGCGGCATGCTGGGAAAACAGGCCGCGGGAAGGGAGTCAATAGGCCAGTCTCTAGTCTTACATGGAGGAACTAGGGAGCCCCTTGTCTGAGCTGGAGGCACAAGCATCGTGGAAAGGAGACAGTGTCCCAACCTTCCAATTTATTATTTATTCATTTATTAGAGTGTTTCTTCCAGTGCTTTCCCAACCACTTACACATCAGTAGAAAGCTTAAGACTTCTGATCTAGAAAAGGCACAGCACATGAGGAAAAAGCGGAGAGGAGGGAAAAGGAAAAAGCTAGGCAGCTCGCTCATTTAGCGAGACAGAGGCAGAGCTGCAAGCCAGCCCAAAGGGCTTTGGTTGATGCCACAGAAAAAAATTATTTTCCCCTCCTGCACTACCCCCACATGGATTTCCTGAGTTAATAAACTGTAACAGTCTCTTTTGCCTTAATCAACAGAGTGATCACTCATAGGTTCTAGACATAAGCAGGGCGCTGGGTTCCTGCACTTTGACAGGCAACACACAATAAACAAACAGCACCCGAAGTTAATACTACATGGGACTTCAGCTTCCACACTAATACCACAAAGCCCATGGGGCTGGAAATGGCTGAGGGTTCATCTACCCCTCCCTTCCCCCTTGGATCTTTTCTAGCCAAAGGCAGACCAGGTCTGTTTGGAGTGTCTGAGATGGGAAGTGAAGGCCCCCATAGAAAAGGGGGAGAGGCAAGAAGAAAATGACCCTTCTGTTCTCTGTGTTCTCTCCTCTGGGGATTTTAGGGTTAGGGAAGAGGGTGGAAAAACTGACCAGCATCTGGAACAATGGAACTTCAGTCGCCTCAGTGGAAAGCTTTCGGAGTGACAACGGAGGTCCCTTTGGGTTGGTCTCAGCTCAGAAACGCTGACTTAAAGATCGTGTGTTGAGCGCGTTGGTGGAAACCAACCCACAGCGGTGTCTGATTGCTGTCAAAATTTCATGAGGTCACTGGTCTCTGGATTTCCCCTAGACAAATGTAGCCTTTTGCTGTGTCTTATTATAGATTCCCTCAAGGGATGGTTTTGCCCATCTTGGTGGCATCTGTGGGTGGCATGGGGTAGTTGACTGATGATCGCCTTCCCACAAATAAAACCCTCAGTCTCCAAAACTTCTTTGGTTTCTTGCTTACTTCTCATTTCTAGCATAAAATTCCATGCACACGTACATTAAATATGCAGAATTAAAAGTTATCAATTTAAAACACTTTGGGGAAACCTTGTTTTCCAAAATTCTCATTTCTGTGCATTTCAGATAGAGAGGACGGATTGTAACTCAGTGACAAGCTTACATCCTGCTTCTCACCTTCCGTCCCAGCTTTCTCTAAACAGAAGGATGTACTAACTGATTGGGAAAAGACTGCCTTGTGGTTCTTATCCATTGGTTCTCTTGATATATGGGATTTCTACTCCCAGGTGCCCAAGCCATCGTGGTCAAAGATTTAAGGAGATGAAATCCAGGGTCAAAGATTGTGAAAACCCACGGGTGTAGACAAACTGAACTAGATGGCTCAAGGTCTGACTCTGTACAAGACAGATTACTATATATTTTGTTCTACCGTAGCCCTTAATCCTGTCTATCAGACCAACTTAGACCTGTAGGTAAACAATAATGGTGTTTGTTTGATTGTAGGTTGTAATGAAACGGGAAGCAGTTAAATCTGAGAAATGGCAGGAAAGTGCGAACATTACAGCATGATAAAACAACCTTGAAGGAAATACTAGAAAGAGTATACAGCAAGTCCATCACTGAAGGTAGCGGGTTTTTGGGGGGAGGTGATGGATCTTCTCCAGGTTTCCAATGAAAATTACAGGAGCTGTCCAGGGTGCTTAACCATTTTCAAGATGAGCTTCAGCACTTTGGATGAATCAAGTAAAGTTCAGGTGAAAAGCCAGAGTGGAGTTGCTATATTCTTGCACAGCTGGAGTCCTCCACATGTGTTCACAGAGCATTCTCCGTAGCAAAGGTAAATACGCCCTGCTATTTTGCCATGGCTAAAGCCAATGTTTGTGGGAGCCATTGTGGTGTGGTGGGTAGAGTGACAGATTAGGGCATTGGGGACCTGGGTTCAAATCCCCATATGGCCATGAAAACTCAATGGGGGCAGGTGTGCCAATGACAAAAAAACCTCTTCAATAGGATTTTCAAGTCAGATGTGAGTTTACAGTGCAGAACACAACACAAAGCAAAAGGAAGGGTGTAGCTCCTTTACATAGCGCAAAAGGTGGTGGGTTCGAGTCCTGCCATTTCCAGTTAAGCAGATTTGAGGTAACAAAGGTATAAGAGCCCCTGAATGATGCTGTGTTTGGGCTGTCGTGTACCAATCACCAACCTAGACAAAAGCACCTTTATAACTTGAATGAGGTTCACATGTTTTGAAAAGACATGGTGTAATTTTATTTGTTTGTTGCCCAAGGGTGCAGCACAATCCCAAGAGAACAGAGAATGAAATAATTTTAAAAGCAAAAAGTTAAAAAACAAGCAAACACTGAGCAAAATGCAGCTATCCTGGCCAAAGCGCAGCAGACCCAACAAGGACTTCCTCAAGAGTTAATGCAACAAATCTCATTCATTTAATGGGTCTACTTGAGTTGGGATAGCTGGATTTAGTCCTGCAAATTAAAAGTGAGCAATGATGATGATGATGATGATGATGATGATGATGATTTTCAAGACCAGGGTAATTTTGCCAATGCCATATCAAAGAAAGCGACCATACAGCTAATGAAACCTGGTCATTGCACAAAACCTCCACTCAAATGTATTAAAAATACATACTCAAACACTCCAAGGACTGGGGGGGGTTATGTAGCCTTGAATTACAACTCCCACCATCCATCACCGTTGCCTGCGCCAGCGAGGCTGATGTGCGTCGCCGACCTGATCTAGTTTGATGAAGAGTCCTGGCGCGCTCAAAATCTTGCACATTTTTGGATCCCTGGAGAAGCCGGCGATGGATTGCCCTAATATGGATGTTGTCTCTCCGGAGAGGGATGTCCCTTTAAATGCGGCTCCTGCGGTTGCTGGGAGGTGCCTGTTGCTAGGGAGAGATGATTGGCGGAGAGGGGATTCCCTTCGCCCTGCGTCACCGCCCAGGGAGGGTTTTCCCCTTGGCTGACACGTGGGTTTCCAAAGCCCAGCTGGGCTGGAAAGGCGTGTCTGCGCGGGGGTTTGCGTCCCCGGCCAATGGGGGTCTGGGGCGTCGTGTGAATGGAGGCGGGTGGCCATCCCCATCTAGGGCAGCGGAGGGGGAGTGGCTTGGGAGTGCGTGTGTGTGTGTGTGTTTCGGTGGTTAAGCCTAGGGCAGCCACTCCCTTTGGCTGCTTCGGAGTTGGGCTGCTCCGGCCGAGCGAGCAGTGCCGGGCTGCGCATCTGCGGAAAGGAAGCGACGCGCCGCTGCTGGAGTTGAGCGGAAAGCCGCTTTTCAGCTCTCCGCTCCGGAGTGGCGCTGCGATGACTTCGCGCAGGTAAGAGCCGCCTTGAGGGTCCATACCTTCAGATCTGTGGATGGATATGAAAGCGTGATGCTAGGAGGGAAAATCGGTAGTGATTTTCTATTAACAGCAGCAGCGAAATTCACCAACAGTTTCCTCCCCCTTAATCCCACCTCTTTTAGCCGCTCGAATTTGCAGAGAGATTGCTCCTGATGCTGGAAGCTCCACCTGGAATGTTAACAGGTGCTCAGAGTTGAGAAAAACTTTTCCGGCATTCTGGAAGTTGTCAAAAAAATATCCCCCAGCCACCCCAAAAGTAACATTTCCAAGTTCTGCTTTTCATGTTCTCTCGACCGCAGCCCAACTTTTCCCGTCAGCTCCGCAGAAACTTTCTCGAGGCACTTGGGGATGGTGGTGAAGGATGATTGTGGGAGAGCCGTTTTTAATTTGCTCTACTTCGCGTTTCTAACGGTTCCATTCTTATCTGCTTCCAGCAGATTCCGGCGAAAGGAAAGAAAAAAAAACTCCAAACAAACTAGAGTACCAGTGACTTTAAAAACAAACAAAAAAGGAGAACCCTTACAAATCGAACAGCAAGGCAGTGTAAAATTCGGATTGTCAGCGTTTGAACTTTACCGTGATAGGCAATTCCCGTTAACTCTGGAGGCTAGTCTGGGAGGGGGAAAAATCTAGTTAATTTATTTTAGCTGCCCCAATCCATTGCTCAAGAGAACTGGGGGTCATGAAGTCATCTTATTGTATCATATGTTGGGAAGAAAACTTTCTGTCCCAATCTGGGTCTTTTCTCAGTTGTCCCAGTTTTAAGCTATTTTTGAAAGAACTTTCACATCCTCTCTTTCCTGCATTGCAAACTTTAAAGCCTTGAAATTCTGCAGGGGAGGATCCACCTTCCTTTTGTGGCAGTGTTATCTTCTTGGTCCTGCCGTACATTAGTATTTTCTTTTAACATTTCCTTCCTTTCCTGCTCTATAACGCAGATAGTTTGGGATGCCCCCCCCTTTTTTTCCTGTACTAGCTTTTTAGTTGCCTCAGGGTTTAAACTTAGAACTTTGAGAACAGCTCCCTTCCAGACAAGTTTGTCCCTCTGAGCATGTGCTAAGTGCAAAGCTCTTGCTTTTCTGTGGTCTGTGCATTGAGTGCAGAACCATTTAAATGTCTGTAGGTCAATGGATAAGAATCCCCTGAGCATACGTGAAATTTATTTCTTTAGAATTGGCTAGCTGTACATTTCCCCCCGTCTATATTTTGGGGAGAAAGGAGAATCATGTCTAAAAAGGAAAAAAAAACAAAAACGTTTTTCTCCTGTGAAAGCTTTGTCAAAACAAACCAGCCGTCACTTCTTTGCAGTTTAACAACTCTGATTGCATGTTTATGGTTAAAGACATCCAGAACAGCTTGTAGGGGAACATTTCTCCCTGTCTGACGTCACCCGATTTGACCTTGTGTTCTTTCGGCCCAAAAGGATCTTGTCTCTTCTTTAAAAAAAATTTAAAAATAAAAAAACCAACCAAGCAACAAAAATCCTATCTGACAACTCGGCAGTTCTGCTGACTTCATTGTTGAATGGCTCACGCCAGCCCTAGCCAGCTTGGATGAGGTGGTGAAGGATGATTGGACTGGCTTTTCTCAAGTGGGGAGTTTGGGGATTGTAGTTTCCCAACCCAGAATGCTTTGTTTGTCTCAATTATACATCAGTGGACAATATTCCATGGATGACCCTGCCTGTTTGCCATGAGTGAGGTGTACAGCTTAGCATCAGACCTCAAAACAGCAAGACTGGGGTCTGTGTCTGCTCTGTGACTTGGGGCTTAATCTACCTTTCAAGACTGTTGTCAGGAGATCTGTGACAGGTATGTGCTCAGCCTTTGGAGAACAGGCATATGTTTAAAAACGGCATCTTGCCTCACTCCCGGGAGTGTTTTCTTTTGATGATCTGTTTTAAAATGGGCTGTCCAGATTTTACATCTTCTGACTTGCAACTTGTCTTGGAAATATAGATCTATATCTGTATTTGAAAGGCAGATTTAAAAAAAATAGAATGGCAATCGTAATCATAATTATGAACATGATCTTAAAACTGAATGCCTTTCCAGCTTCACAGCAAGATCAGGAGAAGGGATATGATGACAGAAGGAAACGGGGGAAACTCAATATTTGGAAAAGTTGTCTGTTTGCATCACTGCTCCTCAGTCTGGTGTGGACACTGAGCACTGTAGCCCAGAAAGTAACTTTTCAATCTCTGACCGATATTCAGGCATGTGAAACATACATCACTACAAATGCTGGGGAATTACAACTCCCATTTTGTCCCACTATGGGCTATGCTGGCTGAGGCTGATGGGAGTTGTAGTTCAGCAAAGCCTGGAGGCCCACCCCTTTCTGCAGCACCTCTTGCACAGACAGGCTCTGTGGGGTGCTTTGTAGTTTAGTTTGCATTGGGTAACAGATTGAAATATAGGTGAGCAGGGGCACCGGGGGGGGGGTGCATGCTGAAGGTTGCCCGGCAAATGTGAGTTTTTAGAAGGGAGCCAAATTAACTCACAGAAATAAGATCAGCTCTCTGAAGCTGGTTGGATGGCAGCTCCCAAAATCAATGGCCATCCTGGCTGGCGCTTGGGGGAAGTGAGGCCCCCAAATATCTGGAGAGAACATAAAGCTTCTCTTCTGGCCTTATAATTTCAACACAGGAGATAGTAAACCCCCAAAGTACCTCTCTCCATTGAGATAATAACAACCCTAATAGTAATAATAACAAATGAAAGAATTTCATGCCCTGTAATAACTCCTCAGGTTCGCAACCTGAGGTGGTTATGTCACCCTCCCTGGCCTTTTGCTGTGGTATTCTTTCTACTGATGTTTATGTACATGCATGCTATGGGTAATCAAGCAAAACTTTCTAATTCTTACGGTGGTTTTAGTCAGGTAGACGATTTGCTCTTGTGAAAGTACCAGGTTCTACACTGATTTTACTTGTATTTTTTTTCTGCCCTCCATATGAGGTGTCTAGCCTTGATTAGTTCAGTGCCCCTTTCCCCGTCTTCCCATGCATTTTCACCCCTCTTTCAAGCATGGTTTATTTTTAGTCTCAGTTTGTTCCAGGAGGCCAAGTTTAGCCCTGTGGTGCTCCTGATGAAAGTTCATGGCTGCGCTTGGAGGCTCCCGGTCTGAAGTTTCCACTTAGGGTTTCAGTGACAGGCGTACACGACAGCCCTGCTAGAGAAGCTCCAGGAGGTAAATGGATCCCTTAAATATTTTTAAAGGATTTCTAAGATTTCCTGAAAGGCAGCTCTTTTCACAGAAATGTCTTTTTAACGGAGATTTTGCACCCAAGTAAACCCTGCGTTGCTTACAAATGAGCAGGGAAACTTGGGTGCTGTCTAAAACAGTCCTGCGTCGGGCACATTCTGTCCTTCTGGATGTGAGTCATGCGCTCAACCTGTGGCAAAAAGCATCTTTTGATGCTTTGTTTGCCTTGGCCGTTTCCTCTTATATTTTTTCAGAAAGAGCTGACTTGATGGAAAAGAAACGGCCGATGAGTTTCCATTGCAGGTGAAGATGCCACATAACAGTAGTGGAAACATTGGGTGGTTCTGGCTTAGAAAGAGCAACCAGTTCTGGTGGTTGGCACTTCTGCTTTTAAGCAAATCAGCACGAACGCTCCCGACTCATCAGTAGCCAGATCAGAACTCGGAAAGTCACTTTTTTGGTTTTAAGCATTAAGTATTGAGTCCTCTAAAGCTTGTGGGGTGGGGTGGGGTCTAGATCCAATCAAGTCTAAACTACCTTTAGAGGCAAACATGTGGAGGCTGAGGCTGTTTTTCTTTGGGCACCTCATAAGAAAGGAGGATTCTCTGAAAAAGACAATAATGTTGGGAAAGGTGGAAAGCAGCAGGAAAAGAGGAAGACCCCCAATACGAGATGGACCGACTCCCTAAAGGAAGCCATGGGCTGTAGTTTGCAAGAGCTGAGCAGGGCTCTTGAGGAGAGGACATGTTGGAGATCACTCATTCATGCATCACCATAGGTCGAGGGCAATTTGACCGCACATGGCAACAACTAACTGTGCTGACAGCATTATACAAAAGCAGCCTGGAATCTTGTAGCGCCTGAAAAGCCCAGCCAATGTTACTTGGTGTGAGCTTTCTCAGGAGCAAAATCCACTGGCCCAAAATGACTGCCCTCCCCTCAAGGCAAACTGTGCAAGGTTTTTATTTCCGCTGTCCTTTGTAAAATCGGGCAGGCCCACTTTGTGTGCTGTGCGCTGGGCATGTTAACTCTGAAACGTGACATTGTCATTTGCTGTCTCTTGGAAGGAAAGAGGGCCTTAGCTGGGCGTGGGATTCTGGGAGGTGTAACTCAACCAAACAACCCATTTCTGTTCTCATCTCTGTTCAAAAGTAACTTAAATATTCATAATACTTTATAAAAAAACCCACATCTGAATTCTGCAATCTTTACTGTCATCCCAAACTCACTTTCCTATCCCACTCTGGCCTTAATATCTCAACATCCACCACAGAGCATGACGTACATCCCTTCCATTGTCTAGGGAGGCCAGTTTTCTTCCACCTGTAACTGTAAAGAAACTATAAGTGCAGGTTTAGGGCTTTGGGTTCCATTGCCCGAAATTCTCCAGGCGGCGTGCTTGGCTTTTCTCTCTGTCCTGATTGTATCTTTACAACAAGCTGACAAGGTAGGACAGGCTGTGAGAGAGAGGGTGAACACTAACAAAACCACCCAGGGGGTTTTGTGGCTCTTTGGGGACCCTCAAAAGTGGCGATCCTTCATAATTAAATAGGACCCATTAAGGAAAGTAGCTTGCTGCATAGGTCAGTGGTTTAGGTCTCTGGCTGTAGAGCCAGAGGTTAAGAGTTCGATTCCTCCACTGTGTGCCTCCTGGAAGTAGAGCCAGCCTGGGTGGCCTTGGGCAAGCTGCGCAGTCCCAGGGTGCCCCCTGGAGGAAGGGGATGGTAAGTCACTTCTGAGTATTCACTACCTGGAAAACCCAGGGT